CAAATCCATATCTCTGGCGATACAAGAACTGGCATATATATTAACAACACAGCCCCTTCACCATGCATGTAAGACCCCCGTACGATAGACCTGTGTATGACATCACTTTATCTCCATACAAAGGGAGTACCTAAGGAAACCACCTCGGCAAATAGTCACCCAAGCCCCAATAGTTCTCGCGACCCAAGGGATGTCCGGCGCACTTTCGTATCTCATGAACCTCCATGCCCTCAGGAAGATGATCAGGATCGTAGTACATGACTCCTAGGCGTCCACAGAGCTCTTCGGTGGCGCCTGGGACTGGGACCAGAACAGCCCGGGCGATTGCAGAGGATCCGACGATCATGAGAAGGTTGAGAGAGAGTTTCATGATGGGATTTTGTCCTCGTCTATGATGCATATGGTTAGTATTTTGTAGGTAGAGTGCATGGAAAAGTATATTACCTGCTTAGTTGAGAGAGAAGATGTATGAATGTAGATACAAGAAGAAAGACATTGTAGGAAGCGTGATGGGCGTTGCATATATATGCAAACAGCTCCTTAGCGTGGATGGAGGTGATATAGTGTGTCACAGGTACTGAATGGATTAGCGGTACGTAGCATCTACCTATTGGCCGATGGTCGTGTTCCTCTGTTGGCTCTAGTGGGCAGGGATTCAGTGCCAGCAGCGATTGCTGGAGCTAATATCATTATGGCTTGAGGAGCTAGGCAGATCAGTTTCTCAATGATAGCGCAAGTACTCCAGGGAGGTGGATCTTGAACTGCATAAAAATGTAAGACAATCAAATAGACACACATAGACAATTAATAAGCTACAAGAAAAGATGTAATGCGCTGCCCGCCTCGTGTTGGTTTACACGATAGATAATCTACAGGGTGCTATGCATCGTCCGAAATAGGCAAGGAGTCAGGCTTTACTATTTAGATAGCCAGATACCCTGATTGATATCCATTCGTAATACCCTCTCGGTTGTCTTAAAAGGCTGTAACAGGGTCGAAGATTCTGTCCCAAATCCCAGTCTCTGTATACCTCGTCAAGAGGAAATTATACGATCTGTCAACTGGCGAAACTGGCTTTGCAGAGTATGTTTACATTGTGCAACATATCGCAATGGAGGGCAAAATCCACACTACGACGCTATGTGAAATCATTTTATAATTCGAAAAGTCGAGTAACATGGTCCCCTGTCTAGGACACTTGTCTTTTACAAAAGTATCCCCCTATCATATAAGCTTTAGACTAATCTTGAGGGTAGGCTAGATTTAGTGCTTATTTTTACGTCATGCGGCCAGGTACCGCCATTTCAATCACAGTAACGGGAAGAAATGACACATATAGCTGTTTGGGTACTAACTAATCATGGCTATTGCTTAGCATCCGCTGTTTTAGGTGGACTCTCACTTTCGTAGGCGGATTGAACATGACTGCCCGCACCGAGGTCATAAAGCGCAACACCCATATACAAAATGCCCAGCTCTTTTTCCCTAGATTTTATATCTGATTGTTATGCTTGACAGTAAACCTCGGGTGTAATGAGGATTATATATTGAACCAATCAGAGAAATCCTGCCACATGAGGATATTATCCAAAGCTGAAGATTCTAATGTGAGCTGGCTTGTGCGGAATGGTGACAACTGCGTATTAGCATCGGTGGTTGGGAGGAGCGGAATAGATTCATCGAAAGGGCCTGTCTGTGTTAAGTCAGTAGGGGAAACTGTCGATGATACTTCCGCTGATAACAATCCTCGCGCTTTGCGATTCATTTGATCACAGGACTCTCTGGCCTTATCACGCAATGGACCCAGGACTGTCCAAACACAGCTCGTCCTGCCCTTCATCTCGGATGCCTCTTCAAAGTCGGTTAGGCAGGTAAAATAATTATCCACCGCAACCCATGCTCTATCTGCCTCGGCTCGGCCAGGTGAGGCGCGCAGTGTGCGTAGCACAAGAAACAATGCGTACAGCTGAGGATGTTGTTGATAGTACCATGCAAAGCTTTCGAATAATTTACCTGACTGAAGCAAGTATCCGTCCTCGAGTAGTTTAATGGCTGTCGTGAATGCCGACTGGGGGAGATGATCGTATCTGCAATCTGTACTTTTTGTAATCGAAAGCCATGTTTGAAGCGTTAAGATGAAATGTGCCTTTAAGACAGATATGCGGAGCAGAGCATCTGCAGCACGACATACTGGGTTCGTCATATCCGCGAACCGCAGCCATTCCTGCTCGACTTTGCCTTCGGTTTCACGGATTCTGTCCACTTGGCTCCCAGCATCATTCTTCGTGGTTGTAGCAACCGCGCGTCTTAAACTGCGGCACAGATTCAAGTTCATGATGGAAAATGAGATTTCCGTCCACGTATCCTTCCCGGTCGGTGGCTCTTTCATTTGTGGAGAAATGTCGACGTCATCGATATTGGCTGGTAATAGATATGGGTGGTCACGGTCCACAGTCGTCGAATTGAACCCATGGCTTTCAGGCGCAGTGGCATCCAGAGCGGTTATATGCCACCAAAGCCGACGTCTCATCTCGGTCTCAAAAGGATCCAGACCCAGACGGATGCCATTTACATGGACACCAAGTGACTCGGCAATGCGCATAACAAGACCGGTGAGTATCCAGGGGGTTCGGGTTGCGTCGTGAGTTCTTAGTGCGGTCTAAAATCATTAAGCCACAGTAGCATAGCATGGACAATTGAGACAGAATACCAAATAGATGACAAGAGCCGTCAGAGCCCGTGTATTCGGGCGTAACAGAAACTGTGACCTCATAAATGCGCTGTCCATTTGTTGCATCAGATGACGCAGGAGGGTTGTCTTTTCAAACCCGAGTCGCTCCATTGATTTAGCCCTTGGCACCGTTACCGTAGCCGCGAATGCAACAGCATATACCAGGGTCATTGTTGTATCGTCTGCCTCGCGGGGGTTGGCAGAGGCATTCATTATAATTGGTTGTATCGTGGGTATATGCAAGAGCTTCACCAGGGGATCAAAGTTCAGTTTATAAAAAGACCATAATGTTTCGTATGTTTGTGAAGGGATGGAGATATTATCAACTTGATCCCCGAACACGTCGGTGGCGACTATGCTGTATTGTGTGAATGAGCGATGAGTTGATGAACCTGGCGAGCTGGCTGGTGGCTTGCCAATCCCGGAAGCTTGTCGGGAAGCGCCCTGGTGCCATCAGAATCAACACTATAGAGAAAGAGGCGCGTCGAACTTACGTCCAGCAACAGCCCGACAAACACTGAATTATCAACATAACTGCTCCTCACTCTCTTGTCCATCGGGGCTTCTTGAGAGGGCTGAGCGGGCGGTACTAGAACGGGACCCGGTGCGTGTTGCTCATGTTCTACGGGGCCATCGGAGGCTTTACTATGATCGAAAGATGCCTTGAGATCGGAAATAAGCTCTTCGACTTTAGTAAGCCTGTCCAGGATATCTTGATTTGTCGGTAGATTATTTGCCGTATTAGGAAGCTCGTGCTCTTGAGCTGGCGGTGTCCTCGAAGTACGAGGTCGTGGTGAAGCCCTGGATGGTGCTTTGATCGGCGCACGCCGTCTGCGTGTTTCGTAGACGCACGAGAGCTGCAGACGGGAGCAGTGCGAGCACGGCAACTTCCTGTTACAACGGACTTTCCGCTGGCGGCATGGTTCACAAGTGGGGCGGCCTTGAGGGCCTAAACCAGTGCGGTTGCTCATAGCATGTATTACTGCCTGATGCGATTCCAAAACTACACAGATATGTATTTCGTCCGGGACTTTTCGACACTTTATGGAAGAAGATCGGGGAGTGGCGTTTAGTCAGCAGAATCCGGCGTAACTAGAGCTAACCGTAAACGGAATGATCCATAGAGAGCCTGGTGCGTGGTGGAGTTACGCTGTTTGGCCATTCTTGAAGCCCTAATGTGAAAATTAGAGTAGGTAACGCTCCGACTGTCCCCATACCAGAATCTCAAGTACGGGGTAACTAGTCGAAATCAAGCGACCTACCCGCTATGTGATTAGATTCACACATTTCCACGAAGAATCCCGAGAACGCAGACCGGCCTCTACTCTCAAATTCCCAAAGAAAATATGTAGACGCAAAATGTTGTATTGTTATTCTTATTCAGTATGTAAAGGATACCTTTCCCTGAGTTTCTGACCAAACCGATAAATAGATATCGTCGTGACAGGCATTACCAGGCTAATGAAACCTAACAATGAGTTCCCCCATCCCAAGCCGAGATGATCATAAAGACTAGGCCCAGCCAGTGGCAGGAACGCACCAAAAAGACACCGCACAGATGTGACGCAGGCAACTGAAGATGCCGCGAAGGGCCCAGACGCATCCATCAAATAAGCCTGGGCGGTCGCATTGATTCCCACCTGGGCGAAGCCAAAGGGTACTAGACCGATCAAAGGAACAATCCAATGGGTCTGGGCTTGTGTAGACCAGCCGTACCAGAAAAAGCTCACCGGTATAAACAACGCTGGTAGGAACGCCGTCACTATGCGCATCTCGGGCTGAAAGATATCATTGTTCGCCTTAGTAAGACGCACAGTGAGGAGGTCGGAAGTTTTCGCAAACACAATCAGACCGATCAGGCTGCCAAGGCCGAGGCCCATATACGCAAGGCCGGCGGTCTCTAGAGACCACCCATAAAATTCTTGAAAGAATGTAGAGGTAGTGGTAAGGAGGGTATAGAGCAGACCTGAGATGAGGCCTACCATAATACAGAGTATTACTAAGAGAGGGGAACGGAAGAGCATTTTCCAAGGGCGGGAAATTGCACGAGCCAGCAGGAGCCAAGGATTGTTGAGACTGGCGGAGCTCTTTTCAGAGTCGTAAGCGCTCTGAAGGTCTTGTCTGCCGGTTTCCTTTCGTAGGTTTAATGTCTTGTGGCGGATTATCACCAATGCATTAGTTTCTGGTGCGAAAGCTGCCATGGCAATTGAGACAACTGCGCAAGCGATGAGAAGGACCCAGAAGATCCATCTCCAACCGGCTCCTTGTGTGATTAGTCCTCCAAAAAGGGGCCCTAATACAGGTCCAAACAATGACCCCGTCGTGACTAATGCATTAGGCACACCGCGCTCATGCACATCGAAAAGGTCCGGAACTATTCCTCCCCCAACGGACAGGCTTACTGATCCTCCAAGGCCAGATATTATGCGGAATGCAAGGAATGTTCCAGCGTTTGGCGCTAGAGCACAGCCGATATGGGACAGGGTGAAGATAGCGTTGGCGGAGTTAAGTATTAGACGACGGCCGTATAGCTCGCTGAGAGGAGATAAAATAAGGGGGCCAAACTGACACCGCAATTGTAAGCAGATTACATATAATCTTAGGGGTTCCTGTGAGCACGATCATACCATGTAGGCGAGTACATATATAGTTGTTATCAGAGAGGAAAGAATTGGGGACTCAACGTGGAACTCAGATGTGATGCGAGATGCTGCCGGCGAGACAATAGTAGAAGTAAGGAAGCTTTGGCAAAACCTTGTTAGTCTTTGCGTCGTTGAAGTCCCGAGGTAGAATATAACGAACCTGAGTGTTATCATGCCACTGAGTAAGACCATCGTGGTCCACTTCTTTGCGGGGGAGAAGTTCCTGCTATGGTTAGTTGGGTTCTCGTCATATAAACTTATCAAGCTTTCTCGATATACTGTGCTTATCAATCATGATGGATTCTCACCTGGGATTGTGTGTGTCGTTTTGGCTATTCCATGCTATAATGCCTTTGCTTAGATCCGACTCTAGATGAAGTGCGCCGAGTCCATTCTTCAATGCCATGTCTTTTTCGATCATGGTAAAACACTCGGTAGGCTAGCTCTCCAGGTAGATTGATTGTCGAGGATTCTTACGATCCCATGCGTAGTGGGAGTTTTGGGAGCTGATTTATTAAGACCAATATACCGATCGGCCGATCGGCCGATCGGTCAACCTCGACGTAGCCATATTTTCTGTTCGCTGAGGTTTTTCAGGGATAACCAAATTTATCTAGCGAATTTCCTTCAATATATGTTCCGTAGGAATTTATGAGCTGCTTGATGGCCAGACTGGGCTTCAAGCACTTGGGATAGTGATGGTGACCCGACCTAGAGCCGAGGCGCAGTGGTTCACCTCACATACCCAACTGAGCCAGATTAACTAAAAAGCGCTCTGTGATACCAAATTAAACTAACTATGCACAGTTCAATTGTCATTGGTTCACATATCGATGCTATATGTACATATGGAATTGTTAGCCCTAATCCCAAATGGATCGTAGCAGTTTGATTTATGCACTGACGGGGCAAATGCACGGATATAATACTGGATGCAAGACGGGAGACGACTACCTTACAGCTATAGAGTTTATTATATACACATACATATGTGGTTCGTAAGTTGTGGACCCATGTAAAAGACAGTCATAGCTGAGTAGGGTGCTGGGTAACACGAGCCATCGAGATCATAGAAATTTCAGTCAAACCTATGGACGTGATATTACAACACGGTGTGTCGCATTACTATTCAACTTCAAACCATAGCAATCGCCGCCATGGCTGCAGCGCCACCAACAGCCCACTTAGAATTGCCTGTTATCTTCGCCATAGCCGCATTGGTGCTCTGGCTAGCCTCTGCCGATGAGGATGCCGTGATAGCAGCGGCTTTCTGTGGCGCACTTCCCGACTCAACCACGGCAGCGGTGGCGGACGTACTCCCAGTAGTAGTGGGAGTAGCATGAGTAGCAATGGGAGAAGTCTGTGGGGAAGTAGATTCAGAGGCTATTTCGGTGCCGGTGATGGTCACGGTCTGGTAGAAATCACTAGTTGGGCCGACTGTACCACCAGACTGTACTTCAGTAGAAGTACCGTAATCCATAGTGATGGCACAGTCGAGGGACGTGGAGGCGTGGAGAGAGCATGCCTCTATCATGGTGCTGCTATAGTTGAGCATCCTGCCACTGGGGCCTTGTTAGGAGGGAAGGTATGGAAACTTACTAATGGGGGTAATCAAAGGCAACACGCATGGTGGATGGGCCCGCGGTGACAGTCCAGCCCTGCGATGAGATGTCGCAATCCCCAATCTGGTAGAAATTTGCATTCTGGGGCTTCGGATTGCAGTTGATTACGTACGTGGTTAGGGGACCGTCCTGTGCGTTTTAGTTTAAGCTTCTTCTGGTAGTATGTAGTATACGGCTGGGATCATGCACAGTTCCGATAACCTTTCCAACTAGATCGTCGTGGTCCATTTCGGTGAAGAGGATAGTGGCAGTCACGTCGGCAGCGGCCATCGAAGTAATAGCCATGATGGCAAATGAGAGTAAGGCTTGAGCATGCATTATGTGATGTATGTTCAATTCGGGTCAATAGAAACGAATGAAAGCGTATAGTTTTGAAGGATTTGGAAGGAGCGACATGGACAAGAAGAGGAAGGATTTTCGCTCGGGCAAACTGGGTCCTATCCACTTTATATGATCGAGTTAAGCCCTAATTCAAAAGACCCTGATCCTTTAGTGGTCCCGTGGTGCTCTGTTTGTAATCTTGTATGCTTCGTGTGTGGTCCAATGTATTCGCTTCCAAACCTCTTGAGGAAGTGGGGGCCAAATGATTACTGCTTTTGTATTAGCAGATCAATAGCGCCAGGAACCGTTGTTCTAATCCTTGTCCTTATCCAACTCGCTCCGAAGGGTGGGGCTTCGCTATATTACCTGCCGCAGCTTTTAGAGGCTTGTTGAGCGGAGCAAAATCCAGCCCAATTCCAGAGTCGCCGATTAATCACTCGCTCGTTTCCTGCACTACTTATTGATGGTCCTAACCAGAACCCAATTATGAAGAGCTCCATCTTTATATTTCTTGATGAAGTATCAGATCAGCCACAGGAAGGTGTGATCCGATGGCGCAAGAGAAAGTTACAATTGGTTACATACTTCGATGTGCGTATATGTAGATTTGGTGATATTTGGACGAAGCACTCCAACCAGAACTTTGATATAATCATTTTGTCATTTGGCTTCAGTCGGTGTAAGCCCCCCTACCCAACATTTACTAACATATCTCATCAACTGCCGGGTTTCAAAGCGTTCGATCGTGCCATGTCCCGCGTGGTCTCTAATTATTCGCCAGTGCTACTGTTACTCAACTAGTCCAGTGTGTGGTAGAAGTCATAAAGGCGAGCATCTATTCATCTATACTTTCTTACTTGACATAGACAGGAGCAATGTAGCTTTTTCATTCACTTTTTACAACTTGGACTTGCTCTCCTCGCGACCCTGGAGGTTAGGGTGGGGAGCGCGAACGGGCCGAGTAACGGCGTAGAAGGCAAAACCTTGGGACTTGGTGGAGAACTAGAAGGTGGTAAAAGTATGTTAGCCAATGCCTCGGCGCGGGAGAGATAAGGGAAATATGGGCAGAGGTAAACGCCAGAGGGTCGCGACTAACCTTGACCTTGGATCCAACATGGAAGAAAGCAAAGTCTCCGGGAACTAGGTGGTGGGTGATTCCAGTAGCCTCGTCCTATGAAAAGAAAGCATCATCGTTAATATTATCCGTGATGGTGAAAGTATAAAGCGCACATTTGGACATGCAGCTTTCAACATCAACATGGATGAGAAAAGCTTACCAAAACATCAATCTGACCACTCAGGACATACTTCGTCTCCTCGAAGGTGTAGTGAGCGGGTCGTTGAGGGCCAGCCTCGATCTTGTAAAATCCCGAGGTAAAGTAAGCGGGGGATTCAGTCTGGGTGCGGATAGAGTGGAAGTCGGCTGTAGTGGCGTTCTCGCCCTGGGGAAGGGGAATGAACTCGTGGCCGGCGCCTTTGATAACGGTAAGAGGGACGAGGTTGCTAGACACTATAACTCACGTATCAGCGTTTGTTTATCTGCATTGATTGGTCTAAAGGCATAAGGAGGGACTCACTTTTGGTTTATTTTCTTGATTGATGGATAAAAATAATATTGGAACAAACTCAGGAATGAGGTATACCTTAAATAATATAAGTATACAGTTCGGAGGCATTCCCGGGATATGGTGGAAGCTGCACAAGATCCCGCGTGCTTTATCCCGATGAGGGGAAAAAACCCCGGGTGCATCCCCCGGCTGTGGGGAAACCATCGGATGGATATCCGATACTCCACTCTACAGGGAAGCTTCCCTCACGGCTATATTAAACACCCCCGCGTCGCTCATTCACTGCAGTATAAACTCAGATTCTCACATTGAGAGACAAATGTCCTTGGCTAGTGGTAGCTTTGGCTGTGCATTATTTTGCGGATAAGCACGGCATCCACACTATGGAGGATAAAGTGTGCCTTGCGCTTTGGTGATTGCTCGCCCCGCTTGTTGAATAGGCTATGGAATACCCTACCGGAACAGGTAGTTTGGTGCCTGAGATCTCGACATAAACGCTAACTAAGGGGACATCGCTCTAATGGCTTCCGCTGGGGCGTTATGTGGATCCCTCAGATCGGTTGAAAGTCGCTCAAATGGGGCTAAACCATGGGGCAGATATCATTTGCACTGAATACTGGGGGGGAGATGGCACTTCCGTGTACCTTGGGAGCGAAAAATCCTAATCAGTGAAGGTTTTTTCAATTGAATTGGGGTGTGCATTATAAAGGAAAAAGATCGGCACTCTATGAACTGGTTATTTATGACAAAGTCCGGCTACTGCCACCACTCAAGCCGAGTATAATATCTACTACGCGACTACTTCTGAGGATCTTTCCGTTCTAGGGCTGATACTCAAACACCACTATCACCCAGTTATATACCCTCAGAGGTGTGCTTAGCTATACTAAGTGAGCAACAAGCGGCGAGGGGAGCCAAGAAGTGACAGATGGAGTAGACTAGGCTAAGTGGGGCTGTTTAACTTGAACTAAACTAGGAAACCACACCCAGTATTTTCCCCTTGAGGTTATCGGTTGTAGTTTCGATGAATGTGCTGTGTTCTGAGCTGGTTTCTTTCTATGCTCCTGCCTATGGCAATATATGTGCTATAGGTTCGCACACAATGTGATACTGCTATACTCATCCTCGAATCACACCAAATCCCAGAAAGGGGTTTGTGTCATTTAGCCCATGTTGGGGGAATATATAATTCTACTATTACGACATGCAAGCAGAAATAGCGCACTCGCATCTGATCCGTGCTCGCTGAGATAAGATAACATGAAACAAACCAGTCAAGATAAGAACTTTACACGATATACTAGTCCAACTCAAGGCCGACTACGACACCAGAAGAAAAGAACAACAACAAAGGATATCTGTCATTATCATGGTGGCAAAGGAATCGTTAATCAAAGCATTCATCATTCCCAGGTTTAACTCTGCAACCAATAAAATTCATCACGTGGGAAATGGGCGAATATCTCATCCAGGCAAACTTGTTCAAGATCCTCTGGGCTTGGTGGAAATGAATGCATAGCATTACCGACGGGGTTGGGAGGATGTGGCTGTTCGGCTTGCTCGTCTAAAAGTGGGTGGACGAAATGAGTGGTAACCCGCATCCTGGCGTCTGGTACATTCGTAGCCTGGGAAGTACCACCTTGCGAGGTAGGGTCGCCTTGTGGTACCTGACAGACTTTGGGATCGAGGAGCTCCCAGAACATCTGAGGTTGGAAGGATATCATTGTACTGCCGCCCGGTGCGTCCTGGAGCTTTTCCTTCGCGACATATTGCAGGTGTTGGAGGATCTCGAGCTATGCGACGCGTTTAGCCATAGCTCCGAAACCGACCAGATGTTACACATTCAGGAGATGGTCGGTGATTTGACCCGTAGGAAAACATACCTTTCGAGAAATATGTGGCCAGGTGGATGAAATACGGCTCAAAAATCTCTCACACCTGCCAAGGTCATCATACGCTTTCTTTGAAACCTTGGTGTCTCTTGCAAACTGGAAAAGCCATGGTATAGTAGCTGTCGCTGCGACTGCGTGCCCAATCAATGGATCATTGATCTCATATTGAAGGTTCTCGCAAAACTGTATAAACTGAAACACCCAACCAGAATGGAATAACGCTAGATCCACTGTCTGTTGGAGAAACAGACGTGATTGAGGCACACCCCGGCTACCACGCATAGCGACCAAGTGAATAAAGGGATGGTTTAGGATAGCCGGTGACGCATGAGAGAGCATTTGCATAGCCAGCCAGGGGCTCCAATATTCCTGTTGCTGCATAATCTCAGCTATCGATCGCTTGGAGAAGCAAACATTTCTAAGAAGGTGCCTTTGCGGCAATTCAGCCTCGCACTCATACAACCTCACACTGAGCTTCGCGTGCGTTGACTCGGGTAACCAAGGCGTTTCAACGTTACCAGATCGTATTCCATGTAAATATCGCGTAAGGTCTCCCCATACTGAGACCATCTCGATGTGATACGCATTGATGCCGAGGTCCTTGTTGACCTCTTCTGAGACATGGAGGTCAGGAGGACAGTTTTCATCCCTGTAGGTTGGTAGTGAGGATGGCAAGGGAGCACTCAGGGGATAATCAGGTGTGTCTTGAGATGATGTAAGATCCAACACTTGGGGTGAAAAGGCCTTTTCGAGTATGAACACGGACCAATGACATCGAGCGCTCCTATCCTCAGTCTGCGGATCAGAAGTATAATGGCGTGTTAATCTGCGTAAAGTATCTAACCGAGAGGCAGTTCCGATTGTCATCCAAGCACGTGCAGGCTTATGACCTGCATTAATTAATATAATTAGCACAATCAATTCAGGAGTGAAATAAAGACGCAAAGCTTTACCAATTAAGTCCTTCACCGCCAGGAGGCATAGTGACTCTATAACCTCTATCTTCGAGATGCCTTCCACAGCTAACTTCATAGTTGCATCTTCCGCGGAGCGAGTATAGAGCTGGACAGCCTCTTGTTCCCTGCCTCTATAAAATTCATGGCTGCCAAAATTCAAAGAAAGAGCTAGGAAACTATGCAGAAGAAATCGGGGGGAGTTCGCCAAGCGATCTCGTAGGCCTTCAAGGTTGAATAATGGCAATGGTTGGAAATGTATCCTGGTGCGGTATACTTCCATGAAATGACCCAAAACCTCCACTGGGGGTTCGAGACTAGGGAAAATTAACTAAATTGGCCTCATATATGAGATAGCCGATATTCGAGATAGGCATATGAGACCTACTATGATGGTGCAAAGCATGGACTATTACCAGAGCTTCCTACACGTGAGAGCATGTTTCGGACCTCAGTAGAGGGGTCTTCCCGTGAGTCTCCGCTCCGGGCTGTCGAAGCTTCAGGTGTCGCAGCATCGTTGCGATTTGAGAGAGAACTTCAATGTCAGTGTACTTCTACAATCATTGTTCCACGGCCATACAACATACTTCAAAATATGGTAAATATCATTGACCTGGGACTCAAGGGTTCGAAATCGGTCTTTCGAAGACTTTCTGTATTCTCCTCATGTGAGACACCGACTTTAGAAACACTTGAACTCTGGGGGTCCCTCACGTCTTTGTCACCCTGCTCGCGTGTCCGTCTGCTTTGGCCTGTTCCCTTGGGAGATAGACACATTGCACATTTAAGCGCTGACAAAACGAGCACACTGGTCTCTCGGCCGTGCATTTGGACTTTTTGCGTCTGGTTCGGAACAGTTAGGATAGACGCTGGTCAAGGAGATGCAGACCGTACCTGCAGGGCTCACAGGCTTGTCGACTGCGCTGCTGCTCCCCCGACATTGACATGCCTTCAAAGATGATCCTGACGTTGTTAAGCCCTATTACGTGATAGGAGGAGAGAGGAGACTCCACGGGCTCCTAAAAAAGTTCCGGGCCCAGTAAGAGCCGAGTAGGAAAATTGTGGGGAAACCTTCAATCAATACCAGCCAACAGGCGTGACGCTTATCTGGCTCACGTGAGCGGGATTTACAAAAGTGTTCCGGGTTTCCGGGAAACCCACCACTAAAACCCTATATCACTCCTATCTTATCTCCCCTCTCGTATTCCGGTCGATATGCGGGGGAAGTTCAGGTTAGCAACAAGGCACTTAGTTAGTAAAGCCACTCGGGGGCGACCCTTGTCGTCTATTTTGGCGAGAAACTCGGAAATCAGTTTCTGATGCGACATTGTGCGCAGGATTCGTGACGCAACGTAGACGGTCTCGGAGGTGATGGCCAGCAGGCCGCGACGCCGCTGCTGCCAAGCAATCGGCCATCGTCGGAAGGAACAAGGATGGTAATGAATGTGATGGCTAGCATGTAGACGACACTGGCACGAAAAAACACGAGTTTTGTTGCGTGGGCCATGGAGTAACGCGGATTTCTGGCTTCACCTCTAATGATGCCGATGAATACCTGATCGCTAACCGCCCAAAGAGCAAGGAGGAAGGTGTTCGCAAATCCCTAATTCTAATTAGTAAAAGACTTCGCAAATCTAAGATTAGGTAACTCACCGCGAATCCATTCTTGAAAGCGGGTAGGTCTATCCAAGTATTACCGTGGTGGACATAGCCAGAGGATCCGCATCTAACGTTATAGCCAGTGACAGGAGAATGATGATCAGGAACGTGACGATCTTGATCAAATAAGTCACATATCCAAACCAGCCGAACCATTTATTCGGGAAGACGAATATGGACATGCAAACAACCAGGAAAATCGTCACTTTGCCGAATGTCAGCTGGTGTTACATTTGGTGGGAAGTGTCGCTTACAAGATGCTCCCAGGGGAAATGAGTCTTTCGCCCAATATTGGACCAAAACATCAAAGAACGTCGCTTCGGAACCGATAATGGCAGCCCATCCTGCAAGGAAAGCGTTAGTAACAGAGAAATTACTCATTTCTATTACCATACCCAGCCATTCAGCGAATCCAGCCCCAAATGCAAGTGCAAGATCCACCCAACGATCTGCATAATCTATGAAGTTACCCGAAACAGGAAACGCAGTGGTCATCTCTGCCAATGACTGAAGTATGCCCCAGACGGCGGAACATAAAAGCCCGTAACAGATGATCATATTACCGGGGCCACTGTTGGCTAGGGCTTTGCCTGTCGCGATGAACAGACCACTTCCGATATTAGAGCCAAGCGAGATGACCTATAATGATCCGTGAGCTTGGACTTGTGGAGCTGAACTTGCGCACTGCTTACATGGATCTGTCGCGGCGACAAGGATCTCTTGAACTCCCCATTCCTATTCTCCTCCACGTCGCCCACCATGACGTCGTCTATACTGCGCACAGGCTCAATGGCCTGTGTCTTCTTTTCCGAGAGAGACATTTTGCCCGAGGGTGTCAAAACCGTCTGAAGCAGGGAGTATCATACGACATATAGAACTGAACTAAATCAAAGCAGTGGGGTAATACCCACTCAGAACGGATTCATAATTGCATATATACTAAATTGAAGATTAAAATTAACTTCCACGCCCCCTCTCTCAAAAGGTACGCGGAGAGGAACCCACTGGGGAATTCCGGCCACATGACCGGGGAAACCCTCTTATTCCGGGCAGCTTATGTGGGGTTATCTATGACGATTGCTCCATCTTCTGAAATTTTTTCCCCATCTCCTTCGTTTTCTCTATTTTACTTCCATATTTCTATGAAAAGGTTCGTCCTCAAAGGGTCCAGTTGTCATGATGGATAAGAACAGCAAAATTGTTATCGTTGGGGCAGGCATTTTCGGCCTGTCCACGGCTGCCAAGCTAGCATCGGAGGGCTACAAACATGTTACGGTTGTTGACCGCCACATGCCGCCTGTAAAGTTTTCTTTCCTTTTGGTGGGTGGTGAGAACAAGATTAACAAGTTCAGGTTCCGGATGGCTCTAGCTCGGATATTTCCCGTGTAATACGTTTCGATTACGCCGACGCAGACTATCTCAACATTGCATACGAAGCATACCTCAAATGGTCCCAACTGCCGAAATATAAAGGCATCTTTTTCAAAGCACCATACATTCTCACCGGCAACACCAGCGCACACGGCCGCGCCTGGATTGAAAAGACGACCGCTGCGCTAACCAAGAAACAGTTGCCCTGGGGGAAGCTAGACAGTGCTGCGGCTGCGAAGAGTAGATACCCTATTCTAAGTGGGACTCTTGCTACTCCCAATTTCACTGGCTACTATAATGAACAGGCAGGGTGGGCCGACGCCAGTAAGGCTGTCAGCCAGCTTCGCGACGATTGTCTTGAACTAGGAGTGTCATTCATCTGTGGTCGCGCAGGCACAGTTATCAGTCTCGACACAGACTCGCAAAAGAAGATCAAGGCTGTTAAGAGTCTTGCGGGAACCTCAATTGAAGGTGATCACTTTATCCTTGCTGCCGGCGCTTGGACATCGGGGTTGGTGGATATGTACAACTCGACCTTGGCAACGGCCCAGGTAATCGGCTACACACCGCTCACAGATGCTGAAGTGAAGAAGTACCAAGATGTTCCAATTTACGCCAATTTTAACACGGGTTGGTTCAACTTCCCTTCACATGACGATAGCAAGACCCTCAAAATGGCCGTTCATGGATGGGGCTACACACGTGCACCCACCGCCGAAGATCATCAGAATATAAAGAGTAACATTTCGTCACCTCCTCTGATCCCCCCTCGTCAACGCGCCAACTTCACTCCACCGGATGGAGAAGACCGGCTCAGGACCGGTCTGCGTGAGATTCTGCCCGAATTAGCCGATCGTCCGTTCGAGCGGGTAGCGCTGTGCTGGTACACCGATACACCTTCGGGCGATTTCATTATGGACTCTCACCCCGATTACAAGAACCTTTTCATCGCTGGTGGCGGTAGTGGGCAGTAAGTCAAAATTCTGTTCAAAATACAAATAGATGCTAACACAGTTCACTCAGCGGATTCAAATTTCTCCCTGTGTTAGGCGACTACACGTTCCTTGCGTTCACGAAGCAACTTCCAGAACATTTGTCGCAGAAATGGCGGTTCCGAACAGAATACAAAGATGATAAAGATACTTTCTTGGGAGATGGAAGTCGTGGAGGGCCTGCTAGACGGGAATTACATGCTCAGGAAAGGGCAAAGCTGTAGGGGTGGCGCGATGCATAGATAGCTCTTTCGTGTGTTATGGATGCCGCTGGTTTCCAGTTCAAGTACCTTTTCATGCCCTTGCATACTGATGTTTCGATGAATTATTTAGCCTTCTACGTATTAGAACAATATATATATATACCTTTCAATTTTGAAATTGCTAGAATAGTTGCCAATTCATAGGTGGTCAGAAATAAGCAGTAAGTGCTACGTACCGCGTCGTGCCTATCTCAGCAAACACTGCAGTGGTCAATCGACCTCTTCATAAGCCCCGCAAGTTGCTTCACTTTCTTTGGCATTCGTTCTTGGGGTGGGGCAAAGCAAAGATAACGGATTGTCCTCTATATCGCATTCTGACATTGCATTCCCCGCAAACCTTGTGTCGGCCGAGTTCAGGTTGCCAGCCTATCTTTGCGAGATACAGTGCGGGGGTAGATCAAGGCAAGAAAGGCAGCGGAATTCGCGGAGTGTTCCCAGAACTCCGTCCCCACTCGTATTCGACCCTATCTCTGTTATCTTAGGGCTTTAGGATCGGAGATAGAAGCACAAGCACGAAATGAGGAATGTATAAGACTCCTTATCTGTATTGTCCTATGACTGGTCAATTGAACCCGATTGTCATTATTCATATTTCCTTCAGATAGTGCCATCAGATGCCAGGTTTTCAACTTTAGCCGCCCTTCGGAAACCCTACCTGCAGTTCTCCGTTGAATAAACCACATCTCGTCACTATTGAACAGGGCCTCCGTCCCACCATATGGCGTCTACCCGCCACTCATCACCTTCTTCCATGAATATGAGTCTATTGATTATGAAAGCACCTTAAAATTAGTTCACCCACTGGTGTCAGCTGGCGTCACCGGTCCGGTGCTGCAAGGCAGTAACGCAGAAGCCCCTCACCTACTACACGAAGAAAGACAAAAACTTGTTTCAAGAATTCGACAGCATGTCACTGACATCGGCCACCCACAACTACCCTTAATCGTTGGCTACGGGGCGCCCCAGCGCGCAGAGACTTTGGTACACATTTCTGAAGCAAACGCTGCCGAAGCTGACTATTCCATGGTGCTAACCCCGGAATATTGGAGATCAGCTATAAGCCCTTCAGTGCTAGAAACTTTCTTTGGCACGGTGCGTGAATCACTGGCCCTCTAGTTCGTATCAAATGTCATGCTAATCATATCATCTCAATGCAGATCGCTGATGCCTCTCCGTTCCCTATCCTCATCTACAACTACCCAGACGTCGTTGGGGGTATTGATATCACTTCGGACACGGTTATCCGCCTAACGAAAGCGCATTCGAACACTGTCGACATAAAGTTGACCTGTGGCGACGTCGGTAAGCTGCAGCGGATCTCCTCGTCCCTTCCCTAGGGCTCTTTCGCCACATTTGGAGGAAAGGCGGATTTCCTTCATCCCGGTCTGGTTGCCGGCTCACACGGTACTATCGCAGGACTAGCTTACAGTGTACCCGCTTTACATCGTGAGGTAATTCGCCAGTACCGGGACGGGAACCTTAAAGAAGCACAAGAGCTCCAGGTCAAGCTCAGTCATGCTGATGGTACGCTGATGAAGATGGGACCGACTGGCGTCAAGGTGAGTGTACATTATTTTGGCTATGGGTCAGGCCAGGGTCGGAGTTCTTTAGGAACCTCTACTATTTCGTCATTCCCGGAGGATGTCCGACAGAATGTTGAAGAAGTTATGAGCCTTGGAAAGGCATATCTCTAAGTGTGGGCGTTATCGGCTTAGACAGTTGTTAAACGATTTTGTCGTGTTCTAGAGTACAATTCCATAATCAAATTTGTTATTCGTAATAACTCGGCAGCCCAGCAGTCACCCGACCTCTGCCTGTCTTGTTAATAGACGTAACATTTAGGCCGAAAGATACACCAACAAGCATTTTTCGACAGAGCCCTAAGAGCACTTCCGTACAAAGAAGTCAAGTAAATTAAGCCTTACGTGACGATCAGGTTGTCCTAGCCTAGGCCGAGCTCCTAGCCAATCAATGTGCCCCCGATGTGCAGCATCTTGCGCCACTTCGGGAAGATTTATGCATGATGACTTGTCACCCAAGCAGGCCTCCCTGTTTCTCTTGTTGTCTTCTGTTCTCCTTTAATATCCTGTGAACCTTCGTCTACGCTAGTAATAGTCGATTTTAAATTACATCAAGCCCCGAATGTCTACTTCGACATTCCCGACCATGTCCCTTGACTTGGTCGGCATCATTTTCCTGGCCGATCTCTCGCTCATCGCGCAGCGAACTGCCCTCACAGGCGGCTCCACATTCCTGGATATATTTGTCCTCTGCCCCGGACTGCATCACCAGCAGGATGCCGGTAATGTTCACGGCGGAGAATACCCGGCTGTAGCTGCAATGACAACAGGCTACGTGTTTCGCGTCGAGAATCCAGCAACAGTTAATTTCTTACAAAGGGTTGGTCGCACGGGCCAACTGACTACACTTTCCGTTACCAATATCCGCAATTCTAAGCAAGGGTGGCTTTCTGATTTTATGTCCTCTATCGACAGTTCCATGTCACCCGGAACTGTCACGGCATACCTCCTCGCAGTTGGCAGCACAATCGCCGTCTCATACCTTCTCATCCTCACCGAAGACTGGTGGGGCCTTCTAGTACTCGCCGTTCTAATGTTTACCCGATTCATCAATGTGCTCTTGATTCAGTCTCGCAGTCGCGCCGGCTGGAGTGGAGCCTCTGAACCGGGCGTAGTTGGAGACCTCCTAGTTCTTCTGAGCCAGGACCGCTGGGTCCGGATCACGGGATACGTGGATGATCTCAAAGCTGTGACTTCCGGAGAATGGCTCCGTGATATGACGTGGGTTGAAAGTGCATTGTCCGGTTTTACAACTTTATTAATCTACTTCAATGTTGCCTTAGCAAGCAATGCAAAGTTGTTTGGGCAATTCCTGCTGCTGTTGCTTTTGGTTGGAGCGGCCGGTCTGCTAGGACTGGTGAATATGTTAACGCAGGGACTCCAAATGCATGGCAACTTGATCACTGTTAACGGTCCACGAAGGAAATACCGAAGAAGACTGGACATGGCAGAGGCCTTGATCAAGGAAACAGGAAGAGATGATTGGGCTGTGCGCTTGGGAATGATCAATCCTTCTCAAGCGTCAGGTGCAAAGAGTGGTTCGACTGAAAATGCTGCGTTCAGTGAAACGCTTACGATGTGATCTTAAGTTGGGCTGGGGCTGCGTGTGCTTAGCATTCACTTCTCACCTCTCATTACAAGAATGACTGTATGGGTCACTTGTAAATGATGGATGGGCATGCGTTCCATATAGGTCTCGTGGAAGTTTGTTCGTGGATGTTATTGATGTGTGTTTTTCGCCGACCCCCCACTGGTGCCTGTTTATGGTTCGAGACACTAGATCGAGTATATAGTTCTCACCCATGTCAATAACAACATAGCGGTAAATCTGTATGAGGAAGGCGATCTTCATGTATTGGCACCTTAAATAGTAATATATATCTATTAATTCCATACCACCACACACGTCAACAGTTTCTTAATTCACGGCAAGTCCCTTCAGCTCAGGGATGATGGGAAAATAGAAGTCGGCTTGGTTATCCGTCTCCAGAAACCAGATATACTCGTGTATGTATGTGTCATCTTGGAAGGCACAGAATAGGATAGGTGTTGTCTTGGTAACTGAAATATCCGACCTGTCGTAGATCGAATGACCACATAATTGACAAGATCCGGGCTCGTGGCTTTATCAGACTACGGAACTTTACAATTTAGGTGACTTATAAGACCGAGACAAGCGATAGTAACGCGAGGAATTCCCTGTATTCTCACGGGAATCATTTATTTTGGCCTGCTGAGGCTATTGATGACATCCTTCGGCGTTTAGCAGCTGCGTTTTAGGACAATTACTCACAGACCAAAGATTAACAGCATCGGCAAAGTCTGGCCTTAGCCCAAAAATTCTAAGCGAGCTCATATGTGCGATGATCTCAGAAGCTGTCCAAGCATGTTACTTGGAATGAAAGTCTACCTACCTCCCCTTTTTCTTTTCTCGTAAATGAACCAGTTAAGGCTGCGGGCTTTCCATTCGAGCTTGGGGCCGTCTATTAATCTACAGTCAGCCAGCCAGCAAAATGCCCTTCCTGTTCTAGCTTCAGATTAAAACCATCAATGGTATTACTGGTTTTAATTGGCTGGGTCTTCCCTGTCTTTTGTTGTCGAAATGAGCGACATCATAAAATCCTTTCCGATAGGGGTTTGATCAGCAAAGCTCTGATTTAACACCTCAACACACTTCGCATCCCATCTCCTTGCATTGCCCTTTTGGGATCCACTGCTCTGACTGGCCGTTAAAACCTTCAGCCTCGCCGCCCTGGACCTTTGTTTCTTTTGAGCTCGATAACGTCTCTCTGAGGCAGCATAGCAGGTCATCTAATCAGTGGAGGCAGCTATTCGTGTTTTTCAGACTTCGTACGGCTCACATGGTATACCTGCAACTAGCCAAGTCATCACCGGCATGAGCACCACTCGTGTACGAGGGGACGCTGCAGATCTCATACCTTGGAGGGATGCGAGATATCGCCTCTTTGCCAATGTCGGCGAAGTAAAAGAAGAGGTACAAGAGGTACAACAGGAACGGGTTGTTGATAAGCTCAAACGACTTCTCCAACAGTCCCAGAAGAACCCGGCCATTTTGAAGGAGCCAACAGAATGGAATTTACTGCTTGAGTACATGGGGCTACAAATGAATGAGAAAGGTTGGAACGGATGAAGAGCGGGCTCATTTTGCCACAATGACTATTAATTCCATTTTATTGAATGAGGCTGTCAGTAATATTCGTCGAAAGCTGGATCTTGACATAACCCTACCTAGCCTCGCGGGTGCAAGTACTGCCGGCGATTTGAGCAGAGTCATCCTAGAGCGTCTGTACGAGCAAATCACCGAGGGTAAAAAGGGATGAAATATTTTCCTGTGCTTACATACTATTTCAATCAAATTAATAATTCTAATTATCAAAAAAAAAAAAAACATGCCTGTCTATCTTCCCCACTCTATAAGCCGTTGATACCCAAAACCCAAGTGAAAGCATCGCAAAGAAGATGTAGAACTTTTCCGCCATGATGTCGTCGTTAACAGAATAGAGAAATCTCAAGCATTCAACCAATAGTCTATGTCTATATCGTCCAAAATGAATCTTTAAATCGCAACAGGTGTATCATTTCTATCACCCGGGCCGATGCCTCGTCTACGGACGGAGAGCATTGCAATCACGAGTCCGAGGCCTGCTAGTCCGGCAGAGCACCATAGGCCGGTGGAATATTGCTGGGCAAGACCGTGGCCCTTTTTGATATCGACTGCTTCTGTAACTGCGGCTGAGATGGCGAGCGCTACGCCGGAGCCGATTTGGAAGGCTGTGTTTAGCTAGTCCGTTGGTTAGTCTGATTGTCGGAGTGCGCAATAGAAGTAGAGGACTTACCATGCCACCACATAAACTCTTGACATTAACCGGGACAGTGGTCAGGATCGTTGTGCTCGTTGTCACGAAAATGAGTGATACGGCTGTGATACTAATAAGGGATGTGGGAAGAACATTGACCCAGCTATCATTGTTAGGGACTTTCTTGCATTATTAGAGGGGGCGCTCAGGGATACGTACAAGTCCGGCTCTGAGTTTGTTGCAGTCAATGCGCTTGGAACGGGCGCTAAGACTGTCAGGACCAGCCCGGCGATGAGTGTGTATTTCCCGTTCACGTATTCCAGGGCTTTCCCTGTTCCCATGGAGGCGATGAACCCGATCACGCCCATAGGTAAGAACCGAAGGGCTGTGTCGCCGGCGGACAGGTTGTCCACCTGTTGTGCCATCAACACAATGTAATAGATTACATTTTGGTAGCTGCCATAGCAGGCTTCATCATTGTTAGCAGTGACCGAAGTCATTGTGGTTTAAGCAAACTTACTAAAACCTGCGATCCAGAGCCCTGCGAAATTCGGGATTCTCCATAGATCCAACGGCATAATAGGGTAGGAGATGTACCATTCGAGGAAAGTAAAAGCGACCAAAAGGACGACCGCGAGGATGAGCAGAACGATGATGAATGGGGTGCCCCAGCCGTAATCACCTCCACTCGAAAGCACAAACTGAAGCAGAATCAGGCCAGCTGTAGACAACAGGGCTCCAAGGTAATCCATCTTCGGCTTTTCCTTTCCAGCCAATTTGTCTTTTGGAAGGACGATGGCGCCTAGAACGCCGAGCGAGCCTGTGATGGTCACTATCAAATAGAAGATATATCGCCAACCTAGTGATGAGGTTAGGAAGCCACCGAAGATGAGGCCGACGCAGAATCCCAGGGTTCCTGATGCTGCGTAGATAGACAATCCCCGAGTGCGGTCAACACCAGTGAAGTAGGAACTGATGATTCCGATCGCCGATGGAACAGTCATTGCAGCACCAATACCCTGGATACCACGGAAGACAGCAAGCTGGATGAAGGACTGGCCAAATCCGATAGCGATGGTCCAGACAGACAGCCAGAAGAGGCCGAGGCAGAGAATCAATTTTTTCCCATATCTGCCGCGCATTAGAACCAACTTCCTGACACTATTATAACCGAGCCTTACCGATCGGACAAGACGCCTGCGAGAAGCAAAAAACCCCCGAATGTCAAAGTGTATGCCGAGATCATCCATTGTAACTCGGTACTGGAGACTCCGAACTCCTCTTGAATAGAGGATAGAGCGATGTTCGAACTAGTCATGAAAACATTATCAAGAAATTGGGAGCCGGAAGTCACCAGCAAGATGAAAGCTCCCCTCCAGGAGCCAAGTCGACCAATTTCTGGGCAGGGTTGTAAGGTGGTGAGACCCTTTTCTTCGGTCGGGGTTGCCAGTCCAGACGAAGGGGTGCTGTGCCCTAACGACGACCCCGGGCGGGAGATCACAGTGAACTGGGGTAGTTTGCCAAACCAGCCCTCACCCTCACCATCCTGGCTACGGCTTCGAAAGCCGAAGTCAAATTTAGTCATAATTTGTCTAGAGAGAAAAATAAATCTTTGGTTTTACTGAGCCAAAATCAAGAGGGCGAGCAGAGAGGCCTTTTAAAATTCTGAATTTTCAAGCAGCTTAATAAAAAAAAGTGGGTATACTAGACGGAGCATACAAAGTTTTATCGCAACCCAGACTTCAGTCGGGCTTTGAAAGGCCTTCTGGAAATCAGGGAATAGAACTGCCGATTGACCAGCCTGTTCCTATTGATCACAGTCGAGTGGATTTGAAGCAAACACAGTGATCGCCTATTATTCCAGTTACACCGACTATTGCGAATGTGCTATCTAATCTCAACTGTGTGATTGTCTTAGCCCATCCCATCTCATTTGCCACCCCTCCTCGCTAGACAAAGTACGTGATCGCTAGAAAGCTCATTTTCTGGGACGCTCAATGGACAATCAAGATCCCGCGTTACCCACGAAGGTGCCAACTTCGTCAGAATTTTATTCCCGAGACGTTGGCTCCTGGTCTTTTGTGAAGTCGAGACCAGGAGACTATGATGGCCAGCTGATCTTTTGACTTTGTGTTCCGATCGCATTGGCGTATAACTGTTACTATCTTATCAAGTCGCAATCAAGTCATCGACGCAAATAGCTTCGCGCGGTTTACGGAGCAATATGTCGGAATAATATGTGGAATTTGTGCAAAACGAACTACCGCATACCCCTTCTTGTCCCCATTCGGTTGCTAGAACTGGATCCACAAAACGTCGTCCCCCCAAAACTCAGCTTTTTTCAAGATGGTTTAAATATTCCATAGCTAGTATTATGTCGAGGTCCGATGCAAGAAGCAGGGAAATTCACACTTATGCACAGTATTTAAGTGGTTTCTCTCGCCAGTGCGGGGAAGGCCAGCGATAGACCCTCTACACATTCTTATCGTGGCTGTGGAGCGAGAAGGTGCCAGGACCCTGGTGGACACAAAACCTGTATTCTAATTCTTGTCTATCGGCGGGACTCCGTAGTCGGCCTTTTTTTTTCTTTTTCTTTTTTCTCTTTTTTTTTTTTCGGGCGTGTGCGGTAACATATCTATCGCTCGCCAGAACTATATATTTTTGACAGTGTGCTCCATCTAGCGCAAGTTGGTCCATATGAACTTGTGGTCGTATCAAGTAGTTGCTCATCTGGCATATACGCCCTAAGTATCTTGTTTACCGTGATTATTTAAGTGATCAATATCCCGAAATCCCGATTGGTGCCCTGTGAGTCGGACAATTGGACAGCCCATGGATGGGATTTTCTAGGGTTCACATGCCCGATCGGCAAACCGTGAGTGGGCCTGTGCATTCGGTCCGGGTAAGCTTGGTCCACTTGAAAAACTTTATCTCTTCCCGATATTTGACCCGTTCTAGAACCATTCTAGCTTCACAACTCATCATTATTCCAAATGCCGTAAATATCCAAATAACTGAGCTGCTTGACCGTAATTTCAATGTTGGGTTGACTCACTGGCGTTGGTCTGAAGGGTGGAGCACTCCTTCAGTTGTTCATACCAGCTGCGCGTTGCTCCTTGTGGAAAGGGTTTGACTCGTCTGCACTGAAGGAAACGTTGTGCCAGTGGGGCCTTCGGTAAGCGACCGTCCCACAAGGGATTATCCAGATTCCCCTACTAGAATGAAGTGCTAGCTTAGCGCGGTAGACTGTTCAGAGAAGCGGAGAGCTCCACGACAACTTTTGCCTTTAAAGTCTTGGCATCCTTGCTATTGTATAATCTTAATAGAGTGTACCGCCAATCATTGGACACACTCTTCACGAATCTATATTAGTGGTCTCAAAGTGTCTAGCATTTATCATCCTTTGACATGGTAGAACGTGATGGCCCGTTGCGACAGACAATGTCGGACAAACATGACAAACCACCTCTATCAAGCCACGTGATCCTTATACAGCCTCCTTGTTTTGTGGTTCCATTTCACGTACTCTTTGTCGTGTCGCAGTCTGCATTTTGTCAGAGAATGGAACCATTCAACCTGTCTCCTTCAAAGAGTTGTTTCCCGCAGCAACTTCACTCATCCTGGTTCTCTGATAAAAACGAGCCCCTTTACACTGCATGACATATGTTTACCTGCAAGGTGAAAGCCCTCATTCCGGCTGATTGATACATGGCTTGCATGGGTCCTGAATGGTGAGATACGGCTAATCGATTCTTTGATTTGTGGAGACGTCGCACGCCTCGGAATCGAGATCAGTGTACATAGGACCATGGCTTTCTTGCATCCCTTCCTGGATCATTCTCTATCTACTTGACCACTCGCGCAGGCTTTATCAACACTGGGTCCTCTAGATCCTCTTTTCTGTGTCCCTACTGACTGCACACGCCTGAAGGCCATTAGGTATAATGGCCAAGAAGTAACAAAGTGCGAATATATATGCCCATGCATATTTTGACATTGTTGCGCTTTTGTCGATTGCACGGGGTATTCGCCAAAAGGATTGTACTTGTGAAGACTGTGTCACGCCTAAGCCCCCTTCGTGCCCGCCACCACTCACCTTTGATGGTAAATACTGCGTGCATCATGACCGACCTGGCTGCCCCTCAGGCTACGCATTCGATGGACAAATTTGCGTCTCAACCGATCCACCCAAGTGCCCACCAGGCACCATATATGACGGTCGTGGCTGCCTTCATGAGGATCCACCCATTTGCTCTCCGAATACTTCGTTTGATGGTACTAGCTGCGCTGCTTCCACCACACCAGATTGTCCACCTGGATTGACTTTCAACGGACAGAATTGTGTGGACGACAAGCTGCCGGGATGTCCCAAGGGTTCAACCTTCGACGGTCAACAATGTGTAGCTGACGGCAAGCCAGAGTGTCCCGACGGTACAGCCTTCGATGGTTATCAGTGTGTGAACATAAAGCGCCCCGAATGCCCGCCAGGTACATCATACAATGGGCACGCTTGTATTTCCACTAAGCCTCCCGGCTGTCCCCTCAGGAGTACATTCGATGGCACGAAGTGTGTCTCGGAAAAGACTCCGGTCTGTCCTCCTGGCTCCAACCTCCAGAAAGGCATGTGTATCGTTGACCACAAACCCATCTGCCCCCCCGGTACAACCTTCGATGGGCGAATGTGTACCACCGCCACTAGACCGGAGTGTTACGAGATGCACGTCTGCCCTCCTGTATCTCCTTTGCAGAACGGTATAACCCAGTAAAAGCTTTAGCTGGCAATATCATTTGGCGAAAAGTACCTCTTACCGTCTTGTTGCCTACCAATCAAATATGGGTCCATGTCCACTGGGTTTGCTTGTTTGATCCTGAGACCACCTCCTGCGGTGTATCTTGTCATCTGACTCAAAAATCTCTGGGTATTAATGCGCCACTCATTGATTATCTGAACATAAAATCGAAACTATCGTTTATTTATCTGGTTCTGGTCTACGCAATAAATCCATATCCATGTCTTTAACAGCCAGTGGATCAAAGCATTCATTTTAATATAATACAACTTGTGACAGAGTCCACAGCTTTCTAAAGTCAAGTATGTATAGCTCATGATACATATATTATGGCTAGAGTTGATAAAATGGCCAGATGTGCACATCAATCAATCGCCCTTGGAGAAAATGGATATCAGAATTCTTACAGTCTCGGCTGGTTCCGACGTACGCCTCCATCAATATACCTGTCGATGGCATCGGCCCGAATTTCTCTCTACCCCCAAAACCACCGCTGATCAACCAGGGTGGACCACTACGGCTAGCAATAGCACATTTGGGGCATTTCTGTGGTAGTTAACAACAACACTAAAACCATGTAGAGATAGAGCAAAAAAAAAAAAAAAAAAAGAAAAAGAAAAAGAAAAAGAAAAACATACAACAGGAGGGATTCGCTGGTGGTCACCCACCCAACTACTAACCTCCCGGCGTGTGGCTTCTGCACGGCCAATAGGTCGCTGCGTGCCCCTGCAGGGTGAGTGCGGGTGATGATGCCGAGTCGTCGCGCGCTTAGCGTGGGTATGTTTTAGAGACGGGTGATGACTTACCACATCCACCACCCTGCGGTGATGGGACAGAACATACAGCCATGCCCGTCCACGTCTGCCTAGGCCATCAGCACTGCCAGCTCTCTGATAGGTATATAGCCCCGTTCGGTGAGACGCCCAGCCTCTTGGCAGCTGTACTTCGCCACCTTTCCCACCAGTTAGTGAAAGCTGAATGGTTTAGCTGTGGAGACGTGGCAAGATAAGCATGTCACAGTCCCCCAAGTTAATATCATTCAGTCCCCATCCGGATTTTGGGCGAGTCTCAGAGATATCCTTGTGCAGGCCGTCTCGACAACCTCATAGCGTTATATAAGCAGCATGGAGAAAATATAAAGCATTGATCAGTAATTCCTGATAGTTCCTATACCCCCACATTTGATATACCAATCCGCAGATATATTTCACAAGTGAAGAAATGTACCTTATTCAATCATCCCCATTCTTTGGATTTCTGAGCCACCCGCTCCTACTATTCCTTCTTAGCTTTAGCTTTCTATTACTTGAGCTTACTTCAACATGTCTCCGTTCTCTGACTGGAGCTACTTTCCAATGCTTTTGGATTTGTTAATCTGATATCAACCTTATTGATATATACTTCGCTGCTTTGCTTTAAATCGTTTAGCTAGAGTAATTTTGTTATACGGGTAAGAGGGAAGGAAATATAAGCTCCAAATAGAAAGACAGTTGCCCAGTACAGTTACTAAAGATAGCGTTACCCCAAGTTCATACTATGCCTGTAAAGTTAAGCGGTAATTGGTGTTCCTCTCGCAATCAGCCTTCCTGTAGTAGGAACAGAGTGTTATCTACAGTGGGGAGCAATTGGAACTTATAACACCTGTATAGGGTTTAGCGGCCAATTTAGGGACCGCCTGCTACCTAAATTAAGCCTATTCTGCCAGGCACAAACCTCATGAATTCCTATCCGAGTACTTAGTATACCAGCCCTGGGCCTCAATGACAGCCTTTACACACGGTGAGGCATAGCCTGGGAAAGGCGTACATGAAACCGCTGTTCTATAGCCTGCCAGGCTTCCTTAGCTACCTGTATAAGGAGTTAACGTGTTGTCTCAGTGTCATCAGCATGTTCTAGCTCAGGATAAAGCTTGTATATCTCCTCTTTTATTAAGGCCCAAAGATTCTCAATAGGATTACGATCAGGTGAGTAAGGTGGCCATATTGTAACCTGAGTGTCCATGTCCTGTAATATATCGAGTACAATATGAGAAGTATAGACAGAAGTATTGTCGTGCATGAAGATATCTCCAGGGCCAACAATTTATGGTAGAAAGGCTCGATATAAATCAGCTGACAATAGGTAGCAACTCTACAAGGCCACCTAGTCAAGCTGACTGCAAACGGTTAAAGACTTTATGCTTGGTGAGGTAATTGTATAGTATTTGTTGCTCGTAAGCAAGTTTCTCACGCTGGGGGTAAGAAAGAAGCGAAAAGAGCCCCTTGTACAAGGATATAGACTATTATATAGAAGACAGTTATGCGTGCGTACCGGTACTAATTCATAATCCGAGTCTCCTTCTTACCCCGGCATACGTCCACTTTCTCCGATGACGCTAGCGAGTGCCTCTCAACTAGAGCATGTACTAGCCAGAAATACCACACTGGATAGCCTGAGGACATGCGTATGATTATTTAAATGTGGTATTTCAGGAAAGTCAGAATAGCTAGGGTTATCTAAGGAGCCGCTAGACTACGCAATAAACGATCTGTTAATAGCACCTCTGAGTGAACTTGCGTTTTGGATATATTAGAGGGACTTTTACTATTGCTCTTTTTATATCTATCCGATCCCATACTGAGTGTCCAAATAGCAGAGTATGTTATGATTGCCAGTATTGGGCCAGCTAAAGCGAACAGAGAGATATTGGACAGAGTCCAGTACTGAAGAAAACTATTGTTCCTACTAGTATTAAAATAGATATTGTAACTACCGAGAAGTATATATACTAGTAATAATTCTAAATAAAGCTATAGATACTGGGAACAGTCTTAAGACACCATATCCTTGGATCACTATTATCCACGCAGAACTGCTTGTAAGCAATATATTGCGGTATCACAAAGCCATGGCCCGTGCAGATCCCAGCCATACCAATAATACTCTCTATTAACGCATGGCTTATGCCGGCTGTGTGTCGGAGAACTAGTATATAGTTAGTCAGTAAATCCATAGCTCTCCGGAGTAAAAGTATTCTCACTATCAACTAAGATTCTGATAAGGCTTATGAACCTAAGATTGAATGTCTATTCTTGCTTAAATAGGCAGCCTCGACGAGCGATCTCTGTAAAATAGATAGTATTCTATCGGGTTAAATTAGTGGCAAGCAGGCCCAATATTAGTGTCAACAATCTATAGCGGTCTGTATTAGCTGTATTACAGCCCAGCGCCAGTAAGGCGGTCGAGGTATCATACACAGGGCCTGGACTGAAGATAACTAGGAGAAATAGAAGAGCTTTCCAAGAAACAAAAAACAGTAGAAGACATCGATAGAATCGATCGAGTAAGGTTGACATTATAATTGATCAATTATTTGAGACTTTCAAAAGAGATCCCGGGCAATACGACCGAGCTGATTGGCTCTACAGTAAATGGAAAGTGAAAGGACCATGGAAGGGTAACAAAACCATTGAGTGGACTTAGTTGAGTAATACTAGTACTAACTTGGGACTAGATCAAGGCCGCTTTTGCTCTGTGGTTGAAACCAGGGCATGGTACAAGACAGAAGTACATGTGCTGAGCGCTCCAGAACTACACTTGTGAGTGGCAGATTAACTAGAATATACTTTTAAGAGAGCACAATAGGACTGTCAGTAAGATAAACAGGGCCACTGTAGCAATCTCACCGTCTGTATTGCATCTTACTTCAGAAGTGATATGAGAGTATTTAACATTATATTTATTGTATCAGACAATGTTATATGTTCAGTTCAAAGCAAAGCGAAAAGTTATATAAACACGGGTAGAGAGTCTCGGTGAGATTATCCGAGCCCAAGGAGATTTTAGACTTAACTACTCAGTAGAGTCAGCCTATATAGAAAATTACCAATAAACAGATTTCTCAAGCGAAGTATACCTATAGGCCAATATAATAATTTCGGGGAAAGTTGGCAATTATGGGAAGATACAGGAGGATGAGTACCAGTTCATCTAGATAATGAACCTAAGAGATAGATATGCAAAGCGAAGCAACTCAAAATCAAAGAATTGATACTGAGGTTAGTAAACACCGGTTGTTAATCCTAAACTGTACCTCACAAATACTCTTTACGACAGCGCGATGCAGTACGCCTCATCAGCCATAAACCCGCTCACACAGTCTACTGAGACTGCCGGGTTCCATAAATGGAACTGGTCGTTGGTAATCCCAAACTTATCTACAATAGTCGCACAAGTATCACCAGCTGCACATAATGATCAGTTCGGGTTTGCTGAAGTGATTAACAGGTCGAGATAGGGCAAGGGAGGTGAATGGAAAGAATGATAAGGGACTTAAGAGGCGAAACATACCTTGTGCAATGTAATACTTGGAGCAGTTTTCGGGGATTCCGGATTGCGTCGGAGCAGGTGGTACCACCGAGCCCGTAGATACTGGGTTGGGTGTAGGTAAGGATGTTGCGCTGCTGGTGCCGAATACACCCACGCAGTATGCCTCCTCGGCCCAGAAGCCACTAGAACAGTCTGATGATATGGCAGGGTTCCATTCGTGGAACTGAGCCTTTGTTATCTGGAATTTGGACGCGACAGTGTCACAGTCGTCACCGGCTGGAGCATGGTTAGTCAGAGGTTAAAGGGTTACGGTTGAACGTCGAAGAGCATACCCTGAGCAACGTAATATGCATCGCAATTTGCAGGAATACCTGATTGCGTTGGAGCAGGAGGCACTACCAATGTAGACGGTGAGGTAGACGTAGGTGTGCTCGCGGATATGCTTGTGATTGGTGTACTGGAAGTACCGGATACACCCACACAGTACGCCTCCTTGGCCCAGAATCCACTTGAACAATCCGATGAAATAGCTGGGTTCCATTCATGGAATTGGCCCTTGGTGATACCAAACTTGGCTGCAACAGTCCCACAATCATCACCAGCTAGAAGATTATTAGTTCATATGTAGTTGACAAGGCTCTAGGAGGCTTCAGAACATACCCTTAGCAATGTAGAAGGCATTGCAGTTAGCAGGGATGCCAGTCTGGGTTGGTGCTGGTGGAGTAGACGGCGCTGAGATGGTGGGTGTAGGGATGGTGGTGGAATTAGCCCCGGATCCCCAGTTCCAACCATCCAGTGGATTAACGCAGTAAGAATTCCCTTGGACCAGGTCTTTATCGCAGGTCGTCTTGTTGAGCGAGGGATTTGCCTCCGTGAAGAGGTTGATGGCAATCTGATTCATGAGACAGATTTGAGTGCAGGTGAGGCCCGCATCGTTTATATACCACGCCCCACAGTCGGTCGTGGTGCCAGGGGCCACCTTGGCGCCAGCGGGTGGGTTGACAATTTCAGACCCGGTAGATGTTGATGTGTTCGGTGCATGGCCCGTGTATGTCCCTCCAGGGGCAGATACGCACAGAGTCGTACCCCAGTAGGGGTTGGTTGCGTGCAGGTTTGAGCAGTTCCAGGTCAGCTGAGAGTTGTAGTCTATGAGGTTTTGAGTGCGTATTCCGGCACCAACAGCAATATCAATGCACGTGTCCTCCGGCTGCACGACATAGACGCTGTCGCACTTCTGTGGAAGGCAGAGATTGGTTTCGGGCCAGATAGAAGAACAGTTGAGGATATTACGGTTAATATAGAACATCGTGGCTGCAGATACACTTTGTGCTAACGCAATGGAATCGCACGTGTCGCCCTTCTTGGTCGTATATATAGTTCCAGACACGCAATCCGACGTGGAAGATGGCACAGTCACATTGAACGCACTCGGTGTAGAATCGAAATTGCTGACTGAGATGTTACAGGTTTGAGCCACATATTTATATGTTGATTGCCAGTTATCATCGTAGGCATCCGTATAGGCGTCAGCCTGCATCAAGGCCAGTTTCTTAACGTTACAGTACGAGCACAGGTCAGATTTTGGAAGCTTAGACATATCCACGTCAGGAAAAGCATCAATCACATCTGGAACTAGAGTTAGCATTGAAGACGAGGAATAATGATGTGTAAAGGCGGTAGAAATTCCTTACCATTGCAATTTTCCCCAGTATTGGGATCAGCAAAGCAGGACTGATTCCAATTGCTCCAAAGCAGGTCCACAAGACCTATGATTGGAAGACCAGGAACCAGTTCGGTTATTTCACCACAGTTGGTCGAAACAGTATCACGTAGCTTCGCAATGGCAGCTTCACAGCCCGCGTCGCACACCAAGGTCGTTAGCGTGGAGTTATCAAAGCTGCTTACATACCCATCTGTCATCAGCGATGAAACAGCATCGTCACAGTTGACCTTCTGGTACAGGGCATTCTCACAATCCGGCATCAGGTTCATGTAGGACAGGGACCCCGCTGGGAACATGGAAACCCCAGAAAAAGTCGGGTTGACGTTCTCATTGCGCTGCCTCAGATGTCGGGATGCATGAAGATGCTCGTGTGATCTCAGGTGTGAAGCATTACCTTCAGCGAAGAAAGAGGCGACAAACCAAAGAACTGCAAGGGTCCTTTCCCGGCCAGCAATCATCATGGTGAGCTTCGTGGAAGAAAGTAGGGCAGTTGCTCCAGAGGTGAACTTATTTGGAACAACACACTCTCAGCAGGAAACGGCATGCATTAATGGTATAGCAGGAAACCATGTGCGATAGTACACAATAATCAGAATCAATGTTGATTACGGTTTCCCTGCGACGACCTTCTGAACTAACAGAATCAGGCATTTATTTCCGAGGGCATTCGTTTAGTGACCTTCCTTTCTAGTTGACTAGGAAAATAGCTCGTACCTGAGTTTGATTACGGTGGAGCTTGCGTAGTTTACGGATTATTATGAAAGAGGGGTATTGATAGATCAATATTCGATCAGGAGATGTCAAAGGGATTCAGGTTCAGCACAGCTATATCCATGTGTATAGTCATGACTCTAAGGACATATTCGGAAATACTACGGAAATTGCGACCCCTCTGTGGATCGACAGGGACAGTGTTTTAGGGGACAAGACTCTGAGAGTAGCATTACAACAGAGTCTAGTATGTTACATGACATTTCAATTCAGCTAGTTATATATCCAACCAGGACTGTGAGTCACTTAACAGCAGCAAATGCAACCTCAAGGGAAAAAGTTTGATGAGCCAAGTGGGGAATGATGCTTTAGTCTATCGACTATCAGATACTAGCTATCAAGATGTCTCAGGTGCTATACTGCTAGTTTGATTACGTCGGAGAGCCGATAAAGCTTGTGTGCGAAAGAAAGAGCGGCATGTACGGAGTACGAGATGCCATTTCCACAAAGAACAAATAAATAATAAGAAAGAAAAAAGGGGTCCTCTTCATAGTAAAGGGGTTGCTACTCAAGTAGTCTTTTGTGAAGAGCCCCCTATATCTGATGGAATGATTTCAAGTCTCCAAGCGAGTTTCTCGTTGGCCGCGGAAGTGTCGGAAACTACTCCGTACTAGTGGTGATCACAAACCCCATCTCCTGGTCTAACAAAAATTGATCCCTATCAACTCCACAAACTACTGGCTCTGTGGCTAGTTCGTCTCGGTGCACGCCAATCTCGGATCGTTCAACGGAGTAATGTTCAACGGCTACATCGGGTTCTAGCAGAAACCGTGGGGGCTAAAGTTGTGACCACATTTATTTCGTCGTCCATAGATTAGAGGCTCCGTCTCTTCCAAGCACCGAAAGGAATAATTATGTAAACTCGTGGCTCAGGGGTTTGGTCTAGGTCAATGGGGCAGTCCACCGACTTCCCTAGTTGAGTCTGTACCCTGATTAAGGCAATTTGCTAGTTTTATAGGCTTCAAGGTAGAGTAAGAAAATATCATAACCCTCCGGAGTACGCTACAGAGCAGGAAATTACTTTGACCCAACAGAGATGGGGCAGATTGAGCTAACGATAGGTACAGTGCAAGCGCATATTATACAATTATACACGCTATGGCATATAAGGCTAGCATCAGAGTTTCCATCAAATGCTGCAGCGAAAAGTCTTTGCACTACTAACAAGGCAAGGATAAATATCCTGGAGATACCTCCTGATATGGTCGTAGATTAGGGCCGGGCATCTATGCAAGTGTCTTCCTTCCTTTCTTTCTTCTTCCTTCTCAGCTGTCTGTCCCCCTACCTTCTGATTTTTACAAAGAAAACCTTGAAGTGGAAGCAGCCTGCCAGGCTTAAAATCAGTGAGTGACAAAGACATCCATTGGGTTTCTAGACTAACAGCTCCACTGCCAGGGCGCATGTTGTCATCCGTCATCTTGGTCCTTCTCACGGGCCTGGGTTTCTTTTCCTCGGTGATTGCAGATACATACTGCAGTGCTGATGTACCCTGTGAGATAGGATGCTGTGGGAAAAACAATGTCTGTGGTCTTGGACCGGATTACTGTGCTAAAGATAAATGCATCAACAACTGTGATGCGAAGGCCGAGTGCAATCCTGGAGACTGGGATAACAAATATATCAATGCCACCACATGTCCGTTAAACGTCTGCTGCAGCAAATTCGGTTTTTGCGGAACCACTGAGGAGTTCTGTGGGGATAAAACAGTCTCCAGACCTTCGTGCGATGCTAGCTCTCAGCAAATCACCCGCGTCATCGGTTACTATAACTCGGCTGCTGCTACCCGCCCCTGCGGTGGCATGATCCCTCAGGCTATCCCACAGGGTGTCTATTCGCATCTCTACTTTGCTTTTGTTAGTATCGATCCGGACACCTTTGAGGTTATCCCAGCCTCCGAGGGAGATAGAATGCTCTATCCACAGCTGGAGGCTCTCCAGATCCGCGACATGGGTCAAGAGCTTTGGCTCTCTATTGGCGGTTGGGATTTTTCCGATGCTGGTACACCCACGGCTACCACCTTCTCTGACTTGGTTAGCGCCGACTCGAAGAAACAGAACGCTTTCTTCTCATCGTTGACTAACTTTATGACCACATGGGGGTTCACCGGTATCGATATTGACTGGGAGTATCCCGCCGCTGATGACCGTAATGGCCGACCTCAGGATTATAAAGACTTCCCCAAGTTCATGGCCAACCTGAAAAAGGCGCTGTCTGACTACCAGTTCGGCCTTTCCGTCACTCTACCCACCAGCTACTGGTACTTGCAGCATTTTGACCTAGAATCGCTGGATAAATCGGTTGACTGGTTCAATTTTATGAGCTACGACCTTCACGGCACATGGGACATGGGCAACAAGTGGACAGGGGCCTACCTAGATGCACATACCAACCTAACCGAAATCAAGACAGCTCTCGATCTACTCTGGCGGAATGACATCAAGCCCTCTAAGGTGAATATGGGAATGGCTTTCTATGGCCGTAGTGTCACTCTAGCCAGCCCTTCGTGTACTGAACCGGGCTGCTCATATCTCTCAGCCGGTGACAAGAGAGCATGTAGTAATACTGCTGGTGTCCTCTTTAACAATGAAATTCAACAGATCATTCGCGACAACGACGTTACGCCAACCCTGTACAAGGACGCAGCCGTTAAGACCCTTACATGGGACAATGACCAGTGGGTTTCATACGACGACGAGGATACATGGAGACTCAAAGCTGAATTCGCCAAGTCTGAGTGTCTTGGGGGCGTCTTAGTCTGGTCTATTGACAATGACGACATTAATTACACTTTCTCTCACGGGCTAGCGGCGGCGCTCGGAAATGAGATTAACTTGGACACCACCACCGGTCTGACTGGTCACAGTTTCGGCGAGAGGAAGTCAACAAGCAGCAGTAGTGACAAGGGCCAGGACCAGTACTGCCGCTTCATCAACTGCGGTGAGGTCTGTCCCAGTGGTTTCACTGAGGTCACCCGTGCCGATAAGAAGAAGGATCTTATGTTAGACTCGTCAACTTGTCCATCAGGCAAGCATCAAACACAAACGCTCTGCTGTCCTACTTCCACAGAGGTTCCTACATGTCAGTGGCGAGGCTTCCATAACAATGGCAAGTGCAAGGGTGGTTGTAATAGCGACGAGGCTGAGATCGGAACCGTTGGCGCAGGTTGCAAGTCTGGCTATCAGTCCGCATGCTGTACAATCACAGACTCTGTTCGTCCCTGGACAAAATGTAAGTGGACTGAGAGTTGCCACGGTGACCTCACCTGTCCAGCTGGCTATCCTAACTTTGTGGTGGGCTCGCGCGATGGCTGGGGCGGACAGAAGTCGTGCAAGGCAGAGAAAAATTACAACTACTGCTGCCAGGGAGATACCGGTCCTCCGGATACGTTCACTGATTGCGAGTGGCATGGTCATGGGGTTACTTTTACAAATGATAAGTACTGCAGCACCCACTGCCCGGCCGGGTCGATTCGCATCGCTGAAGAGGATATTTCCATATTTATGGGGAGCGATAAAACGGCAAAACATCAGACTGCTTGTTCGGTCGTGAGGCATACTGTTGCAAAGGTAAGATGAAGAAGACCAACACGCCGCGGGGAGATCCGCCCACCACCTACCAAGACCAGACGGCCAGAGAGCTCGATGCCTACCTCACGATGTTCCTTAAGAATCCAGTGTGTCCAAGCGGCTGGGATTCTGAGTATAGCTACACTTACAGCTCTAGCCTGGTCACGCGGGATAAAAAGCCCATCACTGATGAGGGCGTTGTCCTGACATACCTGGTGCCTATCCTGGCGGCATGGGCTACATCCCAGTTCCCCCGGCAGGATCTCACAGACATCATCACCTCCTGTTTTGCCATGTTTGGATTACAAGGTAGAGCCGGAAACCTCACTGATTTACAAGGGGTCATATTCGGGTACGGAGTTGGTGACGGCTGGATCGGAGGGCCGATCACGGATGTTAACTCCTTGATGGCTGGATACCTCTGCAACCTGGAGGAATCAGCCAATGGGCTGGAAAATATCCAGAACGCTGCCTCCCTCTTGTGTGAGAGTAATTATGACTCGTCTTCACTGTCTGCCCGAAGAGTCACCGTGGTAAGTATGGATGACCGCTCCGAGAACGGCGAGGAGCCTGGCATTTCGTTGATCCTCAGTGGTATTCTAAATGTTAGTATCTCTTATCATCCTTTTCGTCTTATCCTCACTGACTCCCAACTGTTCCCAGGGTGAACTGAGCCTTCATTACTGCCGCTGGCTCAGCGCAGCAGGTAGGGACATTCTAGAATTAGCATTCTGGATTGGCCCTACGCCGGGCGTTACTCCCAGCAATCAACTGCGCAGCCAGTATGTCGACACCAGTCACACGGCAGCAACCGATCGTTGGATCATTTTCCATCTTCATTTTGACATCGATGATAATGTCTTTTTCATCCGTCGAGGCAGAGCGAACAGGGCAAACCAGCCCACTGAATGGTACCCAGGCGTCACTACAATCGACGTCTACCACAGTCAAACCGCTACGCGTCCTGGGGTCGTGACTCATGGCGGCCGCAGAGCTGATCAAAGGGCAGAATTCCGTTATTCTATCACTTGGAGAGGAGGAAGAGAGAATACCGGGACGATGCAGGATTATAATGCACGCACCCACGTCATGCAGTGTCCCATCCGAGATATTCAGCAGCGATGGTATATAGGGTTCGGTCGTGAAAGGCAAATTGCAGAAGCTGAGCGAGGAGGCACTCGTCGACCCTTTGGTTACACGGAGTTACTTGATCGCTTTGGCATGTGGATGTGGAACCAAGGAATTTTCTCAGTGCAGCAGTTGGGCCGACTGTACCCTGCCCTTGCAGACGATGCACGACCGTACGGTGGTGATGGGTGGTCGATTGTACCGTCATTCGTACCCACCGAGCAGCACAATCCCCAAGACGGAGCGTATGATGTGAATTGGCTGCCAGATGGTTCTTCTCCAGCCAACTTCCCGCAGTAAATATATATCTTTATATAATGTATCGTACGGTATCGTACGGTATTAGATCGTAAGCGGGACTTGTGCCTAGGTAATTTACTTTAGGTATAAATAGTGCTAACCATTCCGTACCTTTCCCATTTCTTTTCCAATTCATTTCCTCCCTGTCCCTTTTCGTTTGCTGTTTCAGCCATCCAATCACACTACAAGAAGCTTGTACAATGTCGTTTAGTCAGTTTCACAATCCAAGTACGCTTGCGGGGGATCCCTGGGATTCAGGACTTCGCGACACAGATGGATCAATTATGTATGAGACTGATTGGAAAGTTCTCCGCGACGAGATAATCCGCCGTAATGACGCTGAAACACTGAAACAATACATTGAGAAATATCCGGAAACCGGGCTGGAACCGGAACCGGTGTACTATTACCCTGAGGTGTTTTTTGTGGCTACGCGGCATGGATGTGTTGACGCTCTTCGTGTACTGCTGGCTTACTACCATGCCAATTTGGATAAGGCAGTGCCACTTGAGGAAAGAGATATAGTCTTGCTAAACATCGCCTGCCGGTACGCGCAGCTGGAAACAGTACATTTTCTACTGGACAGCCAGCCCCCGCTGGGAAACATTCGCGACAAATCTTCCGAGGGTGAAACGGCCCTCCTAAGCGCGGCAAAGTCTTTTACATGGCTGGACAAGGTGACTAGTGACCAGATTGAAGAACACCTGGCCCGAAGCGAACAATTGATGTATATGCTTCTCGACAGAGATGCTTCAGTCCACGATGTCACTATAGCCCGGAACGAATATAACACTAGTCTCCCTCCGCAACCGCGCAACACTGTTCTCAGCCTGGCCATTTCTAGAGCTAGCTACAAGCTAGTGAAACGTCTCATTGAACAAGGAGCCAATGTTCATACCAAACAGGAGCATGCGGACGCTAGATTTGGGTTTGAAACTGATCTCCGGGATGTTACCGCACTTCACTATGGAAGCATCTACTGGAATATAGAGGGGGTCCGGGCGTTGCTGGATCATCCGGGTAATGCCAAAATTGCAGACATAGTATCGGTTCGTGATAGTTTTGGAATGCTACCATTGCACTGGGCAGCTATAGGCGATGATACACGGGAACAAGAGAGATATTTCAGAGAAGACGAAATTCTCCCTAGGTATATTGATATCCTCAAAATATTATTGACTGCCAATCCGAGCACTATCAATATGCAGGATAACGAAGGGTCCACAGCCTTGCACTATGTGGTAATTAACTATGTGGACACTAACAGAAAAGGTCTAAAGGATATTATCCAATTCCTATGTGAGAATGGTGCCGATGCGAGTATATCAAACTATGAAGGGCAAACAGCGTTACATTTATTAGCTCTATGCTCTCGAGACTGTGATCCTATTGACACAGCTGTCATAGATTTATTGATTGCACATGGCCTCGACATCCACCAGACCGATAAATCCGGTGCCACGGCTCTCCACGCGATGTCAATGTGTTTACGACAGATTCCGATACTAAAGTATCTTCTTAAACTCGGGGCGGACGCAACGATTCAAGACTCAGAAGGAAATATGCCTCTTCATAAACTTATGACACGTCCGTACTTAAGGACAAAGAATGTGACACTGGCTGAAAGGATAGCAGCGCTGGACAAGATTACGGTAGCCCTACAGGAAGCTGGCAAGGTTAATATGATGAACCAGCCAAACGCTGCAGGGCAAACACCTCAACAACTACGTGCGAAAATAGTGGCTATGTGGCAGAAAGCGGAAGAGCATAGAATTGAACGAGACACTAGAGGGGTTCAAGGTTATGGCCACTGAATCCTGTTGAACATAGGTACTTCTAGCCCGAATAAAATACATTTATATGCCTGAGGTGTACAGGACGGGATAGCTAATAACCTAGCAGGCACTGTATTGGAGTGCGATAATTTCCATGTTTCCATAAGTATTCGGGTTAATGAGTTCCTTGTCCGATATCAATCCAAGTATTTAGGTAGATGGAGGAGGGAGGTGTGGAGGAGCGTTGATTTGAAGATTGCTTCGATAAATAGTAGATAGGATTCTTATCTATTCCGAAACTAAGTACGGAGTATAGGTACAGAACAAATAGCTTTCCTGTAAGGACTCCCGGTGCACGGTTCAGGGGGCATTTATCTGGTGTGTGTCCCGCAGTGTTAGCTGACGTGCCCGGATCAATCCGTGAACCGCTTAGTATGTTATTACGTGAGAGCTTCGTAAAGCAGCGGCACATGTAAAGGAAGAAGAATGCTACTGTAATACCACTAGTAGGAGTGCTAAGTAGTACACTCACACCACTAGGAACACTAGCCAAGCTGACCGCCTACTCGCTGCAGAAGCCCACCACTTTCGTAAACATTGCAGCTGGTCCTCCAGAGATTCAGCGCGCTATGGTTCCACTTCGAATTTGTCGGTGCATCTCCAGACCAAGCATCGTATCAAGTCTGGGGCCGACTCCATCTTCTTGCCCGCAGTTGAAGGAAGCCTCGACCGGTTCTTGGAGTCCCCGAGAAAGAAGGCTGGTATTAAAGAAATACTAGTTCGGTGGATCATTCAAACAAGACAGCCTTTTACAGTGGTAGAGCATCCGGCTTTCAGGGCACTCATTGAAACAACGGGAGTCACGTTGCCCATCAAGACTGCTGATACTCTCCTCAACTGAATCAAGGAGGAATTCTATTCAAGTAGAGCTTCCGTGAAAGAGAAGCCTGCGAGGAGTAGCCGGACACTGGCTTTGTCCCTTGACATTTGGACATCGGAAAATCAGATTCCGATCATGGGTATCATTGGTCATTGGATCTCTCCCGAGTTTAACAAGCGAGATAAACTTCTCGAGTTTATCGAAATCAATGGACCACATTCTAGAGAGAATCTAGCGGACGTTGTGTTAAATATATTTAATGAACTGGACATCGCGCCAAAGCTCCTGACCATCACAGGGGACAATGCAGGTAATAATAGGATGCTATACAATAGCCTGCACGATCAGCTCTGCAAGAAGTATAATAATGACAATAACTGCTTTCGTATTAGGCCTCTAATACAGTTCCGTGGACGACAGAGCTTTATTCCCTGCCTTGCCCATATCCTCAATCTGATTTGTAGAGATGTGTTAGCTTCTTTAAGGGCTGATTCAGCTCGAGAAACAAAGGCGATACTAGACAACATAGCTATTAATTGTAGTACAGCATTCAACTCCCTTCACAGTACAAAAAAAGCTATTATAAAAGTCCGGCTCCTGACGCTATAGATTACCCGGAGCCCACAGCACCGCCAAGATTGGAAAGAAGTGTCACTCGGTAAACAAGTCAGTTATGACGTTGACACCTGATAGAATTCGACTTATATCATGATTCAGGATGCACTTCGGCTGCAAACTCAGCTTGGACAATTTGTTCGGATATATCCAGAAGTTCAGACTCTTCAGCTTACCGGTGACAAATGGTCGATACTTTAGCAAGTAGCTAAGATTCTCAAACCGTTCTGGGATCACATAAACTCCGTCTCAAAGACTTGCCCAACAATTGTGGAAAGTCTACCAATTTACTGGCGCTTGGACGACTTGTTGAATGACGTTCAAAATACGGAGGGGGATTTGGAAGATGTGAGCATTGCAATTCGCGATACGGTGGAAGGAGGGATTCGAAAGATAAACAAGTTTGCTAGAAAAATGGACAATAATCTTCTTTACTATGTGGCTTCGGTTCTGGATCCGCGTATCAAGTCCTCTTTGATTGTGTCTCAGATGAGCGAACAGGATTTAGAGTTTATTGTTTCTCGAGTGCGGGATTTCTTAAAAAAGGAGTATCCCTCAGAGCTATTAGTTTCCCGGGAAGTTGAGCTACCACGTCTACCGGGGAAATCAGAAACAATGTGGAGGACTCTGCACAAAGTCCAGCCATCCGAAGAGGCCTCTCTGTCGGATATTGATAAGTATTTAGATTCCCCGCCGGTCAACTGGTCCCACCATATGATCGGCGATGCAGACACAGAATGGGTCCTAAAATGGTGGAAGGCTAACGCGTTCAATTTTCTACTCATGGCAAAAGCTGCTCGCGACTACCTACCCATCCCTTCGGCAGAGGTCGGGATTGAACGCGAGTTCAGCAGCGCTAGAGATGTCTTGGGTCTTCGAAGACACTGTCTGAACGCGGAGACTATGCGATAGTTGATGCTCCTGAGAGGGCAGTACCAGACAGAATGTGAGGGCGGTACATACATGTAAATTCATTGAGGAAGTGCTCAAGTCTCGTATGTAACTTGTATGGACCAGCGTATATGAGCTTGGTAGATGTATTGGGAAGTAATGAAATGAATGGTTATGTATGGTATTTTATTATATAAATAAATATGAATTATTCACTTATTCATGAATAATCATATTCCTTTCGGAGCCCTACCCTCAAATACCACAGAATGCCTAGAATTCCCAATCCCAGTGGAGGCTCAGCCCTGGAATTAAGGTGGCCTAAAGTGTCGGTACGTAAGCAGCTATTCAGTAAGACGTTCAGGTAATATTCGCATTTACCAGCGCGTGGCCGTTTTCGGCAGTCTGGGTTTAGCGCCCGTCCGACAGTTGCCTGTAAAGGCTTAGTGTTGACCCGATCAGATCTAGCTCATCGCTCTATCCCGCAACGGGAATTGCCGCCTGCCTCCGCCCTTCCAGCCCTGTGTCGACTATATAAGATTGTCGGTGTGTTGCTGAACAACTTCTTCTTCCTACAATCTTTACTTCTATTATAATTTACCTGGTTCTAGGTTATTTGTACCATCCGGAGCTCAGTACTCCGATCTTTATTTTTTTATAATAATATCCTCAGAATAAGTATATACAGCCCTGTCTCCCCCTACTTTTGACTGGGTCTGCTCAAATCTGCTACTATTGCTTGAACAAGCTGACACTATAAGATACTATCTGACTAGATAAATTGGAAGCCTGTACTGAGTGCAGTAATATATTATATAGCTATCTATAATATTGGCCCCCAAAATAGCTCTCTACAGCTTGACAAGATCTACTGATATATATCTTGACCCACAGATCTTTATATCTAATTTACGAGCTTCGGCTGGAGCTGTTTCCTATTTTATAAGATATCTATGTTACAGACCCCTGCCTAGCGTACCTTATCGAGGGCGGACACGCAAGGCAGAATATCATAGGATGACAAGAGCCGAAAGCAGCTACGGAATCACCAAAGGATGACTATAGTGAGTATCTGACAACACGGTTGGTGGGAGGCCGATACCAGCTCCATCACGTGATACCTACTCCAGCACCTACCCCAGAAGGAGTATACCGGGAGTATACGATATTACACGCCACGATTGGATATACTCCATTTACTACCCCAAAGGGAGTCACGATAGGAGTAGAAGACTCAAGGATATATATAAGGACACTCATTCATGTACTTAGTTTAGTTCTTCGTGATCAATTCATTCAGTTACTTGATAGCTACATTTCTACTCAGTATTGTTACCAGCTCAGCTCGTTCGCACTATCTAACAATTGGGTATACGTACTCAATTGGCCTGGCCTTTCTACCTTGGACTATCGTCGTATATCATCGTTCGTCAGACATCGTTGAATACTCGTCGGACCCATTCGGTCACTATCGTCGTCGATCACTAGTGGATTCTAGTCATCGAGGTAAGTCAGATCTAACCAAGATAGCTAACTGGTCGCAGAGTCCTTGGACGAATCCCCGGGCGTAACAGCGGTATGCTATGAGAGGTAGAGAGTTGCCGACCTTCTGTAGGTCTGGGGGGGTAGCTACGGTCTTTATATACACGTTGGGTCAGGCAGCCCTTTTAGTGGATCTGCAGGGTTCTCCTACACCCGGTAGCTCCCTACGTAGCAGTACATCGTAGCCACGATCACAAATTTTTTCAAAAATCGAGTTAGCTACTGTTTTTCTGGCTTTTTTCCAGTAATTTCTTTAGCAAAGTTTTATAGTATTTTAAGTATAGATAGAAGATCTTTATTAGTTAGATTATTAATCTATTTTAAAAGTATTTTAGTCTGCTTGTTATTAAGAATTTATTCATTATTATATTACTTTACTCGAGTATATTAAATATCACAATAATATTGAGATAGTATAGATCTACTTATACTATATTTCTTAGTAGCTTTTATATAATTTATCTTTTTTTTTTTGGTTTTAAGCTTTCGATCTCAGCTATTGCCGCCTTAATTGAAGCTATATTGGCAGAGTTATGGTAGTTTGAAAAGTATCGAAAAGTCGGTATATATCAAAAAATCGGGCGTCAGGTGGGACCGGCTGTCAGGTGATCAGGTACGGTAATAAGCTCTTCGAACTAACTAATAATCCAAGCCCCTATCCTCAACAGATGAGCATGTTCATTAACCTTTACTGTTGCCATCAAGCTACTCCGGATTAAGGGAAGAAGAGAATGTCACTTTCTACTTCGGGAAACGCACTAGCTCTCTTTCACAAGCCTTCTAGGGGACAACTTATTATTGGATAAATATGCTGTCGTCAGTTGTTGCACTCCCATTATTCTTAAGCTGCAGTATTCCGCTCGGCAATTCCTCATCGATACTGTGAGAGTTTAGCAATTGCTGATATTATTTAGACTCAATAGTATCTGCACATAACCACATGAATGATCTAGTCGCAATCCCGTCATTTATTTATAGAATTGGTTCGAAATAACGGGTGCCTAGTTCAGCGCGGGTGCTAAAGCTCGTGTTGAACCCTTAAGGGTGGAGCTCATGATGCCCTGAACGAAGAATCAAACCTGATTGGCCATCGGAATGCGAGCCTTGGCAGAACTGCCCATTACGGTTTAGCTTGATTGCGAAGCATGGATAACGTATAAAAGTCGCTTGAGACCCTGATGAGCCTCGGATTCTGACATTCTTCGATAAAATACTCTTTTCCCTCCCTTACAGATCTTGCGCAGCAACGATGGTAGCTGGAAATTCATTGTGGTCTATGGATTCGCAACCTAGCAACCTGGCACGGGCTGAAACTATAAAGAATCGCGATGATGGTTGGCGCAATAGCAACTATCTTTCGGCATTCAGAGCTTGGCCAAGGTGCCAAGCAGCAGGCAGTTCGCTGCATAGAGCGGAGACTAATAAGCCTCTGTTGACAGCATCCGGCTCAGCTGAGCAAGTATTTAAACCTCGACGCGCGCACAGAAAGTCGAGGACCGGTTGTCTCAATTGCAAGCGTCGGAGAATCAAAGTGCGAAGTCCCGCCGTCGCTAGTACTCTCTAGGCCAATAGAACTGACATCCTGCGCAGTGTGATGAAGCAAAGCCACAATGTAGGCGGTGCCGAATGCATGGTGCCGTCTGTGATTTCGCACTTCCACGCAGTATAGCCCAAAAGAGAACCCTAACGGCTCCATCTACGTGTAGCACGTCGCTTTATTGCAATGGCTCGTTGACATTCGGGGCAATGATGGCTAATGTCGACCATGTCCTACAGTCTGACTCAAGTAACGAGAAATTCCACTTGTACGGCCCACGTTGCTCTCTTGGATCATTTGGGATGGCCATGCTGGCACATTTCTCCGAGATGGTATCAGTGCACTCGCCTGCGTTTGCCTCTATCAAGAAGGTCTTGCGAGAGCGAACTATCCAAGCAGCTCTGGCGGTATGTCTACATTAATATTTCGATCAATCGTTTGCAGAGATTGACGGCTATGAAGGAACCATGCCTCCTGTATTCTATAATGGGACTGGCGAGCACCCACTTGGCCTATGCTTTCCCCTCAGATCCAAAGCATACCATGATAGCTACACGCTTTCGACATAAGGCCACCCGCCTATATCGGCAGCATCTTGAGCTACCAATCAGTCGAGATAACATGGACATGCTAATTACAAGCTGCATGTTGGTCGGAATGTTCTCCTTCTCCGCCGAGACGACATCCCCGCTGGACTCTTGGGTTTTCTCAGACGATCCGGTCAACATGAATTGGCTCTGTGTTCAATGTGGTCTGCGCTGTCTCCTGGAGATCACCAAGCCGTGGATGAATGAGAGCATCTGGAATGAACCGTTTCAAGAATCGAGCAACTACGAATATGCTGATGACCATCGAATGGGTCGGGAAAATCTCGATCCCGATCTTGCCGACTTATGCGATATTACTGATACCACGACGGAAGAAACAAATCCCTTCCATTGGCCTCTTCGTATGCTGTGCCCATTACTGCACATCCCGCGGCATAAATGCGGGGAGCCTCGCATAACAAACTTTATGGGTCGACTGCTCCCGGGTTTCGTGAATCTACTCGCTACAAAAGAGCCTCGTGCTCTACTTATCTTGTCATACTGGTTAGCGCTGATGTGTACTTCTGTTGATGAGTGGTGGGTTGGCCCCCGCGTTAGGCTTGAATGTCAAGCCATTTGCATGTATCTTGAAGCATGCGGTGACGGGCGGATTATCGAGTTACTTGACTTTCCGGCAAGGGCTTGTGGATATAAATGATCTAGCCCAATGTCATCTAACAGGGCGAAGGATGATGTGGTTCGCAGTGGCCCAATTCGACATAGAAGACTTAGTACGCTCTCCATATACAGCCACGGACTAAGTATAGCCGAGGCGGAAAAGGGTTAGAAATGGTGATTAAACCCTAGGGTCCATGAAATGCCTACGGTGATACAAATCGGTATTGACCGCTATCTGGCGAACCTACCTCTCCAGGCTTGATTCTTCTACTACGTAAGTAGGCACGCACTGAGCTTTATATCGGGAGCGCCTTAGGCTACAGCTATTGTTACCCAATCAGCCACACCTCCCTGGACAATACAAACAACCTGTTTATATTGATCCTATCGGAGCTCATGACTGCAATATACTGGCAAGCTTGAAAATGCCCAGCAATGCTCAAAGTTGATTGGAATCCTCACGTGCGGGATGTCTTCCGCGAAAGCCAAGAAAACGCCTCTACCCACTTCTGCGTTAACATTGCACCTCAATATCCGCACTCCTCTGCGTTCCATGTAGGTTGTTCCATGGACTGATGGTTAATTCCGTCTAGTAACTAATGGTGTCTAGCTATGGACCCCGTTTTTGGACACGCCGCACAGAGCAGAATATATCCAAGGCGAGGAAGGTAATTTCACTCTGCTACGTACCTACTACTCCATATATCTGCATATAAATATGAGCTATGGGGACACTGCATTGGTTTAATAGAATACTGGTTAGTATACCATGTAGGACCCATGACAGTGTACTACATGATCGACCTGGTGTGCCAAATAGCTCCTAAAGGTAGAACCAAGGTCCCCAGAACCATTTCAGCGATACTATGTCTGCCATTCCACGTACAACCGACTCGTGGTGGACATTGATGATCGAGATACTGGATGATTGGTATGCTAACATTATTAAGAGGAAGCAAGTAATTTTATCATTCAATACACTCATTTCCTAATGGGGTGAGGGCTAAATATAGGCGAATTTTGATATGTATAGGACAGATCGGGTCCTTTTTTTTCTAATAGACACATACATCCATTGTCATGGCCGCCATGCACTTACTTATATTACGGCAACGAGCAAAGGTGATAGATAAGCCAAGTGAATTTTATCGCTTCTGGGACTAAGGCTACTTGTAGGAACGTATCTTGCAACTTTACAAATGCTATGGTAGTGCATTCAAATGAAAACTACACTTTGGACACTAAACAATGATATACTCCCTAAGTCCCGATGATCTTCCTCATGCCGTCACATTTGCAGGATTTCTCTCTTTAAAGAGTGGAAGCCGCTTTCAGCATGCTCTCCCTCTCTGTTTTCTTTTTTCTTTTCTTTTCTTTTCTTTTCTTTCTTTCTTTCTTTTTTTTTTTTTTCGATCCAGCTCGCTCTTTCAACCACCTCGCTATGATATGGAGATTGCTATGAGTGGTGCAATCTCGGATGGCATAGCCGCACAAATAGCTACCCGAAGGGACATTGCAGTAGAAATGTATCACCTCTTAGGATAGTATTTACTAAAATATCTGCTGTCATGCCTTTGTCCTTTCGTTATTGTTCTTGCATGTGAATCCAGGAAAATGAATCCAACTGTCCTAGCCTACATCACAGGGAATCAATAAGGTCAAAGGAAACCAAATCATGTCAACTGATTGTATATCTAGCCATAAGCGCCAAAGAGTACAAAACAGCCTTTGCTTCGAATCTCTTGTTCAGAAGTTTAGACCTCGGATGCTCCAGATGAGCAATACACTCCAGGATTGAGGTACGAGGTCAATGATAAAGAACCGTCCTTCTCAACCGAACATGAGATATATGTTTGTATACGATGTCCGTTTCCGGGCTGCTGCCTCTGGCTAATCATTTCCATAACACGCTGGAATCCGTCTACGTATTGTCCCCGCTGCCTCGAAATCATAAATCGTTGGAGCCCGTGTGCAATATCTTCGTCTGAACGCCCGTACCGGATCACGGGTATGTTTAGTTTCACGTCAGGTAGCTGTGCCCCCGGCGCAAGGTTGAAGTAGTAGAGTAAGCCGCTATAGTGGTCTTCGCGGTGTGCGTGGCTGGGTTGGAATGGACTCTGCACGGGGAGTTCCTCATCTCGCGAGAAATTGTCGTCAAGCGATAGGACCATGCGGAACAAGGCCCACATCTCCTCGATGGAACTTTGAGGCACTGAAATGCGACCGCCCAACGTGATCACGGACACGACGCTCGTGAACGTAGTCAGTGGTGTTCCTGCATACAGTTTGATACGTGAGTTCAGAGGCGAGACGCAGTCAATGGCCAAGACATCCGGTCGAACAGTAGCCCCAACAGGGTCGCTGGCAAAGTACGACATACACTCATTCAGGGCCGCAGTATCTTTGTCACAAATTGGCCGCACAGCATGCGCAATGGTGTTGAAAGAGGTCATACTGTCGGGTGTGGCTGGCGGAGTGAAGTAAACCTTAGCGAAAATTCCTTTCGGCGTAAATTCAAAGGCAACTGGCACTCGTGGTGTTCGTCCCTGCCAAGGACGTGTGTCATCATGGAGAGGACCATTTGTCCAACGGCCAATGTGCAACGAGTCTAGGAAATAATAGTACCATCCACGGTCTAGATTCGGCAGTCGCTTTGCAAGTTGCACCAGGATTCCATCTGTTGCACGAAGCTTACCAGCCACAGTCTCACTGGCACATGAGCTATGTCCAGCTGGCTCGACGCAAAACCGGATCTGGGGACGGTCGCTGGCAGAAACATTCCATCTCCAACTATACTCAATAGGGGACCCGTCATAGGTGAGTATGCTTCGGGTTTGGGCGCATGAATTTGGACGGCAAGGATGAGGGAATCGTCCAATCTTTGGTAAAACAATTGAGCGAAAGAAGAGAAGTAGTTCAATCTGGGCCATAGGGCTATAGCCAGCTTCATGGGCGAGTGTCGCCAGTTGCGGTCCACAGAAGTCCCACCAGTCCTGGATATCGTCCTGCTTCTCACCGAGCCACATGGATACCATATCCCAGGACTCGAGCCGCTCCATGGGCTTTTCGTTATGGATCTCTCTTTGAGGGGCCATCGTTTAATATCCGTAATGTTGTGGTAGTTGCGATATTCTCATGGAAGAATAATCTCGACTGAGCTATAGTTAAGCTTTTGCGACACTTTTCCCTCTGCCTGACAGTGACAAGCTGTCACATTAATACACCCAGGGCGGAGCCTATGGCCACAAGCGAACATGCCCGATCCAAGACTCACAGAGGTACTAACATCCCTGCACAGGATTCTCCCTGCAGTAGCTGGTGAATAACAGCGCCGTGCTGCGACTGGTCCAATATATTATATAAAAAGAACCTGGTATGTACTACAGGTATGCTAGGGCGCCAAAAGATCTTGCGGATCCCAGTGTGGCGGTTGTATATCATTTCCTTTTTTATGAATCTAGGGGTTCTGCTAGTTCCACTCACAACATGTGTATGAACTGCTTGATAGGAATGAACACGTAAATACTACCAGTACAGGTACTTGGGGGCCAGCAAATCGAGAGTGTTTAATGCAGAAGAGTGGGGCTAACTGCAAGCCAACTGCGTCAGCTTGCATCTCATCTGGCGGTGGGAGACGCACGCGCAGGTAGCAAAAGAAGGAAAACGCAAAAGAGACTGGTTTAGGTTTGCTGGTCAGGTAAATTAGCAGATAAAAGTTTCCTTCAGCAAAATGGCGACAAGCAAAGCTATGGGATATCACAGGCCCCTTCGACATTAATCTTCTGTGGTGATGTGAAGTCAATCCTAATGTCAGAACCCCGTATCCCGACGGTGGTTGCTGGGATCCTGAATAGAAAGACTGAGTAATATGAAAATCCTTGCATATATCGTCGGGAAACCTTCGCGGTAGCGCTCTTTACCACTACGATAATATGACCTATCGAGATACACACGTGGGGTCCTTCGACTTAACTTTTTTCCCCAACCGAATAGCGATATCTGCCGTCCAGGACACGGCCGAAGTGTGTATAACTGGCATTGAACATATATTTGACGCCTGACCAAGTGCCGTACTCAGCTCTTCAACCCTGAAATCCAAGTTACAAGATACGTTGAACACTTTCAAGGAATTCTGTGGCAGTTTGGCTTGCACATCATCCGTGGTGTTTGTACAATCCAAGGTTCAGCGTTACAGGGATAGTCCTAGCCCGTAGGCGGGTAGTAGTCGTGCAACGTACTAGCTGTATTCTTGCTGCGATGGAGGTGGATGGAGTCCAATATAAACCTGTTAACTACTCGAGGGATGGTGCAGATATGTAACCTGGACATTCAGTGGCTTAGGTACCTATTGCAGATAGAAATACATTGTTGTCCGACGTCCAGCCGTCCCGTGGTATATGGTCAGTTGTATTGCAGTAATTGAACACATTTTCAGACACTCGCAAGTGAAGTAAAGCGAGAGGAAGATTGACAACAACGAGACAATATACACACAGTAAGGACCGAATGAAAGCTATGGGAATTCATTTAAAAGCGCGAGGAGGGAGCTACTCTAGCCTACCAGACGGCCGCTCTGACTTTCCTATAACCTTTTGTGGCTCCACAATCGGCTTACCCGGGGAACTGCACGCCGATCGTGCGGTCTTTGCAGGAATTGACGAGGCTATCCGAGGTGGAGGTTGGCGGACCGTACGGCTTGAAGAACCTTGATTTGGGTACTCTGTGCTGTACCCCGTCACAAGCTGTGGGGAGGCGGCGGTCTGCGCATCAAAGAACGTCGCTGCTTTCGTACCAGGATGCAGATAGCCACCACCAAAACACCCAATCCAATAGCAACCACTCCAGCACCAACCCCAATTCCTGCTTTATCTTCCGGGGATAGACCATAGTCTGTGATTGATCTAGAAAAAGTCCAGGATGGCGCTGTCAAGGTAGTTGAAGATACGGGTATTGGAGTTAAGGAAGCTAGAATTGATAAATCTTCAGACCGGGAGGTAATAACTGAGGAGGGCATGATCATGTTCGAAATGCCTTTAAGCGGGGCATTCATAGAGAAAGTGTCGGCAGTGGTTGTTGTTGGCGCTACCGCGGTTGATGTAATGCTTATGCCTGGTACGGAGATCTCGATATTCCATCCCATTACTGCAATTGCCCTGACTGTGGAACTTGTGAGCAAGGTAGTTGTGACCATTGTCCAAACCCCCGGGTTCTCAGATGCACTTGACCCAAATGTCAGGACCATATTAGATGCCACGGCTGACAGGCAATCGCCGTCTAGCTTGCTATTTGGGATTCCGTTCTCACGAATATACTCCCTTACTCCTAATCAGCGACTGCAAATCCGTGTTCATTGAAATGGGTGCACGTACGAAGGGCAGCACATGGCCAGCGTGCTGGAGCCATCCCTAACCGAGGTTGCCACAGTGTATAGGTAATCAGGGCAGGTCAGTGGGCCTAGGCTGATTGAAGTGTCCGGATGCTCCAAAGCAGCTTGTTGCCATGAGGCTCTTATTTCGGGTAGAGCACATCCCACATAGGGGTCACGTTCCAGGCTATATTCCGGATCAAAGGCAATCAGTGCAGGACCACTAATGCGAAAGCTTGTTGAACAGCCTGACGGTAAAGGCCAGGCTGTTGTAAGCGGAAGCCATGACGTGACACGCCTATCATTAGTCTCCAGTGGGTAGAGCGTCGCTGACATGAGATAAAATTATGCAGGGACGATATTGCACTGTTTTTATGCCTCCCGAACCAGGTTCAGTATACTAAGGGCTTCCCTTTCAGCCGTCGTGCCAGGTGGTTGTGCCTAAGCTCAGGAGACGCTACTTCATGAGAGAGCCGGACTGATATATAGTAATACAGGATGCAAAACTAGAGTAGCGGAAGAGGTAGGCATCTCATGTTAGTCATGTAGTAGCTTCACCCAAGTTGGTAATGTTGCACAAGATATATATACCAGTCACAAAACAGCACAATGGAAATTTAAGTTCACTTGAATTCTGGACAAAAGATAGACCCCGTGAGTGGAGAAGAGACTGATAATTGAATATTTTGGAGGACTGCACGTTCTTGACACTCCCCATAATCTATTTTACAGCAAGTCGGAGCGGGGTATCCTCAAAAGAAATTCAAAGCCATACTATTGTCGACCATAAGTGGGCGCTACACGTCGGTTCAAGGTGTGACTTAAGTCTGTAGTACATTGCGATACTTGGTCGGACATTGAGCCAATGTTTCACACAGCTTGAACAAGTGTTACATAAATATGCAACCCGAGATTCCAAGAATCCTAGACCAGCGACTCCCCCCTCTGGGGGCTTCAACATGTATACATAACTACCTCGGTTAAACTAGACAAGGTTCTGTACCGGCTATCCATTGGGCACTCACAGTACCTTGTTGCTCTGCTTCATATATCCTCGCTGGGCTATCAGATCCTTTTCATATTGAGCGTATTTGGCACTCTTCCATTGTTGTCGATCCTGCGTTGAACGATAACGTCGAAGTATGCGCGTTTGGTAGTCTTCAACTTTCTCGAGCAACGCGGCTTTCAAAGCCAATGTGTCTTTGGACTAGTCATTAAACTTGAAATCTTTAATAGTCGTTATCTTGACTGCAGTGTACATCATAAGGTCAGGACCAGTGGATGTATTTTCCGCGCGAGTATAGACTGGCTCGAGAGCCACCCGTGCAGGGAGTTAAGTACCCGCTGTTTTTGCATAAGTATACGGCCAGCTCTTCGTATCTTCAAAGCCCAGTGTTGTGCCTGCACAGATCGCATACATGTGTTCCAACTCCCACGATATAGGTCCCAAGGGCGGATGATGTGCTTCGAAAGCGCTGTTTTTCAATATGACTGATTGCCAACTGTTTGGAAATAACGGAAGAGTGGGTGTCACAGCCGGTTTACCATACACTTTAGCTTAGCCTGATAAGCCGCTGGGGTGCTGCTACGAGATGTTATTTGCGAACGCCATTGCGAGTCGGCCGTATATCAGTAAACATGATAGTGAGTCACCGATACAACTACGGAAAGGTCATCTTAAATTCTAGCTAAGTTAGCCCCCAGACCAAAGCTCAAGAGAAATATAAAAATATTCTACTTTAATTTTAACCAACTATTTATGTTATACCCTACCTTGCACGGACTTTGCTAAATCTATGCTGTGCTTCCACACTAATTGTAAACCCACAAGGCATCCTTGTCTCACAATTTCAATGGTAGAGGCTGTCGAGAGCCGTGCATATTTCCTCTCGTGGCAATTATATATTTTATGCAAAAGTCTTATGTTCTTTATGACTTTTGTCCTAAGTAGTGGAGAAATTTCTCTCTGACAGCATCATTTACGCTTTTGATAAAAATGAAACTAAAGCAATGACTTTTTCTTCCTGCCAAGCATACATTACGAAGGATAAGGGCAGACTTGACCTCCTCGATGAAAGTTCACATGGCCAAATCCTCGAATCGCCTCCACCGGCGTCAATTTTACTCAGAAATACTTGACTCCTCAGGCGAGGTCCACAGGGTCTGCGCAAAGTTGAATGAGCTACTACCTTTAGAAATGTTTCACCTAGGTAACTTACAAGGTTGTGCCGTAGAAGCTGTAAAATGATTGTTGAGTCCTTGTAGCTCTCTTCACTAAGAGTATCGAGGTCTGTAAGATTTCGTCAACAATAATGGATCAGTAGTACACGACTAGGGAGAGCTATAGTATGCGTTCGTACCAGCTAGGGCATCGTCAAACGCCTTCTTGGCCAGATGACAAGCCCTGTCGGGCGCATTGAGAATCTCGTAGTAGAACATGGAGAAGTTGAGAGCCAAGGCCTAGGCGGATAGGGTGGGTAGGGGGCAGATCAGCCTGGGCAACCTCGGTAGCGGCTTCGTACGCCTCGAGCGACTTCTGGGCGGAGTCCTTGCGGCGGAGTCCGGTAGCAAACTCTGTAAGATACTTATGATAGTCACCGCTCTTGTAGTAGTTCCGTTAGACATCATGATGCTACAAAGAAAAAGGGCTCTCTGCCCGTTCTGGGGGGAGGGGACACGAATCGAAAATGCGCACATCTTGTGGTAAAAGACTTTAGCCTCGACAGACTGAGCAAAGGGGATCAGGTGCATGTTTATAATATCAAAAATGCCCTCGAAGATCATGGTGAGTTCGCTTTCAATCTTTTGGCGGTATTTCTTGATGAGAGTAATCTCAGAATAGTTGCCCTTGATCACCTCATTCTGCTCAATCGAAACGACTATTCTCCAGGACGCACGGCGAGGGCCAACACTATTCTTATAGGCTAGGGATAGGAGGTTGCGCTCTTCAACACTAAGTTCGCGGTCCTCAGAAGCAATGCTTATCATGTTCTCAATCATATCTGGAGGCCGGTTAGCGCTAGCCTTGTTGCTGCAGGTGGATCGGGGGAGAATAACAACCATTACATACCCTCATAGCGCTCCGCCTGCTCCGCAACCTTGGCCAGGTAGACAGCTTGGTCCGTCACCACGCTGCCACATTCGAGTGGATGGATGATGTTTGGGATGATTATACCCTGATGCAACATAATCGCCTTTTTAGCGGCAGCATCCATGAGTTTGAGCATTTTATTGCGCATGTGATGATACCCAAGTCCCATACAGATAATCTGCCTAAAGCCCGGTCCAACATGAACTATCTCAATGCCACTTTCCACGGCCGTGTCCTGGACGATCTCCTTCCACGTCATCACAGCCGCATTTAATGCTACTCTGCAGGCCATCTCTGTCTTGGGGTTATAAATGTGCTGAAAGTCCTGGACGGACTTTTTATATTCTTACAGCTTGCCCAGCTCACCCAAGCCGAAGGCTTCCAGTGTAGACTTTGCAAAGTCCTGGCCCAGCTCTCAGTTCACCCAGGCCCCGACACCTGGGATACCGCTAGCCAGGGTTGCTCCAATCTTATTAGAGATATACTCATCACTATTGTGTAGAGCTACCTTTTCCTGACTGACAAGTGAGTCACATGCAGTGTTAAGCCTCTCAAGGAGCACGGCCTGGCCGTCGGGTGTGCCAGTGTTTATACCGGCGAGCTCCGAGGCTGCAAGTATTCTGTAAGCTTTGACCCATAAAACCAAGGATCCAAGGCTATCGATGCAGATACATGAAGTGTCTACTGCCATATTATTCTTGACAATTTTGTACAATCGACGTAGTTACCCTAGAACCAAGTACGGACTTCTTTATACTACACTCAATTCTCTGGCAGGACTTTGACATAGTATTATATACAACAAGATACCAGAAAGACTGTTGTTATGTTTGGAAGGCAATACCATCACCATGTGGCTATAGTCAGGCCACGACTAGATGCCACAAAGACTCTTCTTAGCTTTCGATCGCAATATCGTCACCATATAGCTATAGCCAGGCCTAGTCCTTGATAATGAGACACAATAGGACTGGTGGTCACGCAAGTGTGATATCTAGCTGCCTACGTAGGTGCTGTACTCATTCCGCAATATACTGCTATTGAGAATCCAGGAAGTGGCTCATTATACAAGGCCTGAATGCTATCCTGTAGGTGGTCATGGACGTATCATCCGACAATCTTTGACCCAAGGCCATGATGTGTGCCGCTTGCCTGTGGAATACGTTAGTTAAAAACAAGATTGAGTTTAGGCAGGTGCTGAACGCCAACAAGCAGCGATGATGATCTATCCCAACAGTATTGCTCCTCTTCTTCTACCTTTTCGTTTTCTACACCTCTGCCACACGGGTGTTAGAAGATATTTTGCAAGGCACGACTAACATTAAGGAAGTTGCAGGACACCAATTGAGAATGAATTAGGTCTAATCAAGCATGCGGCCTCGAGTCAACATGACAATAATCCATATCTTCTGAAATATTTGAACAACGTATGATTATTTTAATGATGTACCACAGATACCACAGACCCCTGTTATACAAACTTTGTGGATCCCTGCTATTATTCTCGTGATCGCTAACTTTTTGTCCTTTAGATAATGACATCTTCTTGCGTTCCTCGTTCTCACAGTTTGTTAGATAGACTCATTTCAGTTCGCGTGTCTCACTCGTCGCATATAACATCGTTTTGCGAAAGGCTCCCCCATCTCCAAAATCCACACTTCCAAATAGTTCGCTTCGGAGTTTCCTCTCCTCTTGTAGTTAATACTTTCAAGAGAAAAAGGACCCAAAAAAGTCCACCACACTATCTACTATTCCGTCCTCGCCATCTCCGTCACAAACATCTCCACTATTAGCATCTCCGTCACAAACATCTCCACTATTAGCATCTCCGTCAAAACCACCTCCATTATAATCAGTATTGTCATTATCACCACCCGCAAACTTGAGTAGATCTAGAGGCTTGGTAACAGTCTCGGTCTTAGGGATTTTTTTTCCTTTGAGGTCGAAAATATGACCTGCCGAGTCGGAAGTTGTCTCCTTCCCCTCTTTGGTAACCAAATCCGTAGGGAATCGACTCCTGCCTGTGGTCATCTTCGTGACTTGCTTGAACTTTTGGTATCCGGCTAATCTGAGTACTATGAAATCAGTGAACCTTCACCGATTGCAAGGATTGTGATACAACCTTGATGTTGTTACGTTGGCTGATTCTAATGTGATTGTTGCAAGCTTTGTATGAGCCGTTGATAATAAGGCGTTCAAGAAGGGTTTTATAATGAAAGCGGCCAGATCAAGCTTGTGCGGTCAGGAAAGAACGAGGAGGTGGTTTAGGGCGGGAACCGTGGCTTAGGTATAGCATATAACCCTGGTTACAGATCACCTGACACAACATGCACACCCACCTCGTCTGGGGATCTGGAGATGGACCAATATAAGCCTTGGGGGGGCCGGCGCTGCCAAGACAGGTGGGGTGACCTGTGTACTCCTACGTACAGCTGTACGCTGAGGACAGTTGACTGGGACTTTTCATGGTTTACAATACATCTTTTCAACCTTAGGCACCGTCGTTTGTGGTGTCCAGCCTCGGCCTGGATTAATCGAGACTTGTAAGAACTAGGAGCATCCTAAATCTCTTTGGGTCACATTGTCTCATGCCTCTATTCCTCGGCGAGTAGCATTGAGCGGTGTGCATTCAATAAGTCTCAGGTCATGATTTCACCTTGCAATTCCACTAAGTCATAGGCTGCGGCGAGTATGAGCCGTTAATCGATAAATAGTTCGATTGTCCTATCCAGTATAGCACAGATGAGTATAGCATTCACTTGAATCATATCTTCCACTCTTAGGAGTCAACGCTCTAGTTTTAGAAACTGTTACTCCTGGTATACTCGACCCTTTGACGACAAAATGCAAGTCAATTCTGGCACTGCTGACCTCAAGCACGTTAACTCCTTAGATGAATGGACTACACTTTATAGGAAACGAGCTGTCGCGAAGCTGGCAGGCATTCCTGTGGGAACGCCCAATGTGCAGGATGCCCTTCTCGAGTATCTTAACACTGACTGCATCTCTCTTATTAATCAGAGAAAACAGTATCTACATTGCAGCAGTGGCTATACTGGTAACAAGATTGTAGCTACTATTTGCGGCAGTGTTCCATTCCTCCGGCCCTTGGCGGTGCATGAGCTGGGTACAGACTTTGCAAATGTCACACTCAAAGCCTTTGGCTTAGGCGATATAAATAAGCTACAGGAATACCAAAGGTCATTCCAGGAGACCCACAACTCCAAAGACAAATTAGCCAAGGCCATGGCCCTTACAATAGGTAGGTTCACAGTCACAGAGCTCCTGCGGGACACAGCCGTGGATGTTAGTGTTGAGACTGGTCACATTCAACCTATTATTGGACAGGCCGTATCCATGGGATTCGGGTACCACCAAATGCGTCAAAGAATGCTTAAGATGATGGATGACGCTGCTGCGAAGGCTGTCATGGTGCATCAGGGTTTGATTATCCCGCATGTCATGCATTCGCTCAAGTATGCCGGTAGTGCAGTGATGGAGCAAGGGGGAATTTGCAGGCACGCTGAACCTCACACCGTCTAGTCACCTACCCTTTCCTGATCCAGTCTCCAGGATAAGCCCAATCAGCGGACGCTGTGATCGATGCGAACGAGGTATGGCCACCGCACGCGCTTACCTGCTCCAGTTCACAGATACGTGGAACTTGTCTGAAACTAGTTTACATGAGGTCATACTATGAGACACAGCTGACGTTCCGAGCAGCTTTTGACTGGAATGAATGCATCTGGCTGTTTAGGGGCGTTCCGGAGATAGTATTTGGAGCAGTTACATATTGTGAAAGTTGCCAACTGAAAGAAAACACATTAGACAGCCCCACAACTGGCTGGCGCCTTACCTTTACCAATAAGGTTGCCACTGAAGACATGGATCGTTGGACTTGCATGAGTCAGGAGTGTAAAAGCGGTTCAAGTAAGTCTTATCCTTCACGCTTAAAATATACATAGATAAACCCGGGAATTGGGTGCTAACGTATTCTAGACGTACTATCCTATGATGATACCCAGCTTACCTGTCCAGACGGTTCCTCCCGCCGCTGCCTCCCATGTATTCTATCGGAGGAAGGCCGAAAGTGCCCCCAATGCAGGTTAGACTACAATGATAAATGGACACCACACCAACTCATACGGTCTAAGCAAATGGATCGGGCCTGTAGACGACCACTCATCGTTTGCTCTATTTGTCATGAGATTCAGGCCCAGGAAGGTGCCTTCCTTATTTGCGAAGGATGTATGGCGAACGGAGGACGTACCACCTTCTGTTCCCAGTGTCTGCACCATGGCCACCACAATCTGCACCTCGATTTATGCAGGTCTAGGAGGCCGAATGCCGTACTCCGGGGGATAACGGTTAGCCTTGCTCGGGAGTCGAACAAAGCAGCCTTTTACTGCTTAGCCTGTCATATCAGTAGGTCTCCAAGCCTCAACCGATAGCTCCAGCAGTACCGAATATCACAAGCTCTGATGAACAGGTAAAACCAGAAGCCAGTAAACCTAAGATAACATTATGCAGCATACAGCTCCTCCATCCCCTACGCCCATTGCACGTCAGTCACGGATAACCAATCGATCTATATATGCTATGTCTGCTTCTTCACCACCTTCAAAGACACCTCAAAATACTGCTTCGAGGACTCGGCCATGTCGGCCTTCATCCTCTACCTCTCAGATGTTCCAGAGGAGAAGCAATCTGGGGAAGATAGTGACGCTGGCGATACCGCGATCATACGTATCCCAGGACGGTCCGACATCTCAAAGAGAGCAAACGAGCAGGAAGGAAAGGCAGTTCTCAAAAGCTGTATAATAGAAACAGTCAACTGGCTAACTAAGTCTCATGTCGGATGTCGCGACGCCGCCCGAATTGGCCTCATGGGACCGGCGCGTGTAGATGCCACACATGTGTCCTGGCCTGGTATGGCTCTGCCGCCTATGAAGGAAGCTGATTTCCACTCCACTAGTACACCCTCGAATATGGAATATGAGATTCCGCATTACGAGCTTGGGTACTTGAATTGTGGTATCGGGTCTGCAGTCAATCCATGAACCTTTACCCAGCAACTACGGTGTTAAACCTATATACCGTAGTTTCCGGGGGAAGCTTTCCAGCCGAACACGATGGATGGCCGGGAAATACTCAGTCCACAAAAGTTAATCATGCGTTTTCCTGATAATGCGATTAGGTGTTGAAGCTTTGGGAGCACCTGCTATGGGAGGAGATTTGGAAATAAATAGTTCAGTGGCCTATTCGGCGGTGGAGCGAACTAACTAAAAACTACGTAGTCACCTAGTTAGAGGGAGATGAGCCTAGGCGAATCCTGAACCTCATACGGAATAGTGGCAATATAATCCAACAAGAAACACTCCGCCATAATATCTGTTAAGGTCCTAAATACCACATCAGCTTGTTACTATTTGGCTTTTGAAAGAGCCAAGAGGATGACAATAAAAACTTTAATGGTATTTTTTACCTAAACTGTAAAGTTGACATGAGTGGTTTCTGAAATTAAACAGGCTTACTTTGAGACTACAATGTCCCGGTGTCTAGTTACTCTTACTCCTCTGTTTCCATGAACCGACGCCTGTCTCCTTTTCTTGACGGGGGTAATGGTACTATCCCAACATCACTACTCCAGCGCATGAATTTAACTTCCAGCTAAGCCACTAAAATGTCTCTACCCACAGCAGCGGCTGCTGTCCAGGTCCAGCAACAGCTCCAATAGCAGCATATAATCATAGTGGCTGGGTCCAGGCATTGCCCCTTGAGGGCAGCATACACAGGGATACTACTCGTAGCTTATTCAACAGTACCGACAATATCTGCAGCTTTTTCCAGCAGAAGCTTCAACAGTATGGTCAGCGCCACGTGGATACGGGGATGGCTATGTTATAATAACAATATTGCAATTATAGTTATAATGATACTAGTACTGTCGTGTTATTATATCTATTTCTATTTGACAACAGTCACCAGAACAAAGTAGAGATACCAGGACGACAATTCAGACAGTAAATCTTTCAGGATGCACCCTCGGAGTTCAATATACGGCTCCTATGTGTGGAGGTATGTGTACCGGGTGGTATTGGAAGACGGAGTAATTACTTTCTCTTTTTCTTATTTCTATTAGAAATACCGTCTGATCAATTTCTATATCGGCGAGTCCTGAACTGAGGCTCGCGTGTTTTGTCTCCTAGTCCGAAATTATCGAATGCAAGGCGAAATATATAACCTAACGATCTAGCTGCCACCTCATGCCGAATGCTTGGTGGTTTTTATTATCAGCTGGTGCGTTTCGGAATTATAGGAGAAGCAGAGTGCCCTTAATCCAAGTAACTGCCTATTATCGGTTGTTCTTCCAATAATTTGAGGAGGGTCATTATGCAGCAGAATATATGGGGCTTCTTCGGCATTGGCTTGCTCCCTGACTGCTAGGCGTTTTATGTACCAGATGGTGGACCCAGTACCCCTTGGACTGTTACATGTCGCAATCGTATAGCTTAGCATCAGCCAGAAATTTCCCGTCGTGAGCGGCCATGTTTCCTCGACTAATAAATCCCTCTTGTTTACTGGTGATGCCACCCAGAATGTCCCTCTGGTATGTGAAAATAAATCTTCTCCAAATATAGGAAAGCCAATGGTCAACCACGTGAAGTCGCGGTAATACTAAGACACTTACCAGATAGCGAGGTAGATGGCAGGATACTTCGCTCCTTTAATAAATGCTTATAGTTCGTATGCATGGGCGCATAGCAAAGTGTGGCACGAGATGGCATCTTCCAGAAGCTTTTAGCCATGACTCTGACACCCCATACCAATATATAATCCCACAAACATACATCAAAAGCCGATAGATCCATAATGAGTGGGCTTCTGCAGATGTTACCTAATTCGGTGTTCTCAGAGTGATTTTCCAGGAGAGGCTGCACTGTTATGTCTAGACAATTTTGAGTACAGACGTGCGTCCATGCCTGCGATGCTCTGATGGCAGGAGGCAGCTCCGTTCGTGTCGTGAATCGTTGAACATTCATGCTTCAGAGTCCGTTCTTTTCACTCATCCATCACAGCCTTTTAATATTAGACTTATACGCCCAGGAAAATTTGCTTGCCGAGGACGTAATTGACTAGTGACATTTTTGAAATGCTTCCGTCGTTCAGCTGTGGTAATAGTACCGTCCGCTGGACATCAAAAGTGTTTCCTCTGGGTGTTTAAATGTCTGCACGTATGTTGCAGTCCAGTCTGTGTCTCGAGTAAACACAGTATGTGCTCCAGCGTGGGACGCGCTACTGTCAATGGAGTGAGAATAGACGCGGTTGGTTTAAATAAAATTCTGTTTCCACAAGGACTACTGTGTCCGTTACAGATCTACCTTTTCACCACAGAATTTCACTGGCGCGCGACAGAAAGTTGCAGGGAGTTTGGGTGAAGAGATTGCTGAACATATTTGTAAAGGGTGTATAGATGATGATGTGGGCATGGTAAGATATGTAGGTGCCGGGACACGCAAGAGGCGGTGATTGTTCACAAGGCTCAACCAAGAAGAACTAGAAATATCATCTGAACGACCAGGAGAGTATTATATGGTGGGAGGGATGGTCTTCAAGCCATGGAACGAGACCACTGTGGCCAGCTGTTAGGGGAGATTTTATAGGAAGTCCTAAGCATCGGGTAAGGTAGGCTTCCAATATGTGAATAAAAAAGATTATCAAAGGTGCGAAAAGATCCATCATTCATACATTATCTTCCTCGCTATTAGGTGGATGACATTTATCATAGGCCCCAGCATTCGCTCAGTTTGACGCAGCACTCAGCACAACTAGCTAAGCTACATCCACTAGGAGCTAAGCTTTACCTCAATAATTCCACCAACGCTGACGCCATAAATTACTATCGTCGCTTGTATGGATGCCAGGGCTGGCTATCAGTAGTTAATCATACTAATGGGCGAACATTACTAACAGCGAACTCTAGTGCGCTATGTAATAATAATCTTCATCCATCCAGCCAACCGGAGTTAATTAATATCATGAATAACAAAGGCATATGCCAGGCAAGCGCTGAAAATAATGATTGTTTATCTATTTCTATATACATACCAAGGTATGATCGAGACTAGTGAAGGATTGGTTGCCTGGATTGCTGGTTAATTATGGTTAATACTATACTTTGACGGAAGAAGAGACTTCACTGAGCTCTTAGCGTACAACCGATATTGTAAAGTTATATTATTACTACCTACAATCTACCACTTAATTATAGGTCGATAGACTATTACAACAAGGGCTAGGAGTAAGGAAAACACCACTTTTTGGATTTGCTATCCTCCATAATAGTATATTATGCCTCATGTGATTCATGGCCAGGGAAAGAAGAATAATTATCCAAAAAGAGGGACATATAATAATCAATTATATACCATAAAGAATGGCTAAATACTGCCAAGTCGGTTATTTTGGGTATATGCTATTCTCGACTGTGTTACGATTACTCTTTATTTATAGCACATAGTAATGTGCGTGTGTGATACACACTTCTAATCAACAAAGCGCTTTCGCCCACCCCCTTGGGTTTCATCTAATGGAAGAACCAAGGCAACACCCCTAATCTGCCACTTATGGTAAGACCATGATCTAACGTGTTTTCTTTATTACGCGCCATGAGACGTTGGGGATAAGAAGTCGGGATTTGGACCGTTGTGTCATATTCCGAAACAATGGCATCCGAATCGGATGTGCATCACTAAAAATCACTGGTAAGTTCTGCAACAACAATATATAGAGCATGTCTTGCCCGTAGTAGAAAGGCTTGTGTTTCGACATTTTGTATAACAAGACGTTGTGGTCTCGGTTCAAGTATCTAGGCTTGCAATGGAAAAGAGCATCAACGGTAGCCGGTCTACTACGTTGCCGATATCAAGACCCGCAAAACAGCAGGTATCTTTAATAGTAACGAGCCTATGCCATAAAAAGGCCAAGGAAGACAGGCTAACATCATAATTAGCGAGTGTCTATTGTCTGTGGAAACAATTTTCACATCCACTACACACCACCCCTCAAGCCCTAAGAAACCTTGGCCATAACATACCGCAACTATGGCACCCTCCGACTCTGCAGATCATCTTTGCCATTGCACCTTCTCAATGCTTTCCGAATCATCCAAGATAGGGATGATTGTCGGTATACCATTCGGAGCCATCTTTCTATTTGCTATAGGCCTCTATATCGGGTTTGTCTGTCGGCGAAAGAACCCAAAACCTCAGAATCCTGTGCTTCCTCGAAGCAGAACACCGGTCAATATGTTCAGTCGAGCCATCAAAGAGAAGTTTCCAGGGTTAGTAGGAGAGCTACCTGGTACGGATATATATACAACGCTGGGGGCATCTAGTATGAGGAGGCCTTGATGGATATGGAATTCTTGTGTGGTATCAAAGATATACTTCCCTTTATGGTTAGTCGTTGAGAACTGTCTTTGAGGGGTTGAAGGCCATGGGATATGGACTCTTTCTTCTTCCTTTCCTTACTTTCTATTTTTCTTTTCTCCTTTTTTCTTTTCTATTATTACAATGCTTTCATAGTAATATATTCTCAATCTTGGGTACCTTACGTCTGGTGGGAAAACGCCACAGGTCTAAGAATGAAGGCAAGCACCTTGAGAACGCCAATATCTTATATAGGAGCCTTTCAAAACCCCGAGGGAATGAAGTATTCTATGTACCTATCTGCGTTCGGTCACGCTTCATCCAAATTCTCAATTATTCTCCTCATGATCCCTGAGTGGCCACCCCTTCCACAGACCAAGATCAACCTTGTCTACCTCAGCAATAGGTATCAGTGACTCTTTGAGTTCCACAGCTTTCTGTCGCGCAGATTCCTGGTTTTCATTGCTAATCCAGCCAGCCTTGCTAGCACCACCAAGCTCGTCTCTCCACATGTTCAGGGCCGCATTCAAATGGACCAACGGTTCCTGCTTCTCGAAGAATTGCTCTAAGTCAGCACTGGTAAACTGTGGAGGGCAGGCCAGACCCTTTATATCAGGCAGGCGAGGCCATTACTCGGTCATACGGATTAAGGCTCCGTTCAAGGTCATCAATTCTCCACTCGATTGCCTCCCTGCCCTGCCGACAAGGTGTTGCCGAGGATGAAGGAGGGGGATCCCTTAGAGCACTAAGATGCGCTTTATTCAAGTCACCATTGAAGGCATGATAATAGTGGGAGAGAAGGCGTTGTCGATGGAGCTCATCGGCTTCGACCTTTGCCTCACCCGAGAGGGTGTCGTAGTCAGTAGGAAGTGATGGCTCCTTGAGATTCGCGGCTTCTTCAGGGTTCGGGTTTTCGAATGCTCGTGGATAGCCTGCAACCAGGAGACGTGGCTCGACTATCGCGTGTTGCCGATCAATGATGCAAGAAATAGCGCCCGAGTCAGGACAAATAAAAATATTATTTGGGTTAAATCTGGATGACGAAGGGTAAGCCGATTCAGCGGGCTGTCGCGATTCTTTGGCAGCAAATACGAGGCCAACTCAACATATTTGTTCAGGAGTTGGATATAATCATCAGGATGCCGCTCTAGCTGCCTATGGCTGTTTGAGCAAATTTCCACGATCATCACCTTATTCTCCAGGGCAAATTGTTCAGGTGAAAGAAAGCAACCACAATCTTCATAACCACCACGTCCATATCTTCTATCTACTGAAGAGCCTTAAAAGAGTAACAGCCATTGCTAGCACCAGTGTGGACCTTTTGGGCTTCTGAATCTCCGAAAGCCATTACCAGAGAGAGTATGTACAAAAGGAACTTGCGTAGCGTAATATCGCACAACACTGCGGTCGGCGTCGTCGGTTCTTTCGAACCCGGTACATGTCAATGACGAAGTGAAACTTCCTTCCAGGATCAGTAGCAGAGGTGACAGTGGACGCAGCATTTGCTTATCCTCTCCTGATCACTAGCCAAGATGAACCAATAACCTGCAAAGTGTGGTTGAATTATGGAGGAGAGGAGGGGGAAGACGGCGACCTTTGCGATATGTGGAAGCTAGATATTGATAGCTAACAAAATAACTTCAGCTCCGGTGGTGATCGATCGTTCCAGTCTGATATGCGACAATTCGATGCTCTAGACGCACGTACCCCTCACGATGACTCAAACACGCATATTCTAGTCTGAGAAAACCATGCAGAAAAAGAATTAAAGACCCCAGAAAAGCCCCGTGGGGCCAATTGAAATCAGCACACGCAAACCAGTATAAATCGTTTATTCAGGCAAGGATTGGCCCCAAGATCGGCACCCGGGACAAGTTTCCTCGTAGCTGAAATGCGACAAAATGCAGCCGTGAAGGACCATGTCATCACATCGATTCCAATCAGGTTACATGCATTCCGTTGGTGTCGCAGACCCTTTCAAACCTGCATGATAGCGCCCAATCAAACATTCCTTGGAAGGATGGTATGCATACGACAGATCATTCCTTGCTTTTAATGCTTCGAGGAGCTGAAATCTGTCAGAACCACCCCTAATATCATTCGGCAGAGACATGCGTCTCATAATCGAGTTGCTTGAAAGCTGTCAATGTCTTGCATATTGAGGGGTTTAAAACAGGTAATATGTTGCAGGTTGGGTAGCAATGACAAATGTACCATGCATGCCTCACGGTTGATTCTCAGCTGAGCTGTGGCATGCATATGAGTGGGGAAGACTCCGCTCTTCGGCAATAAGAAAAACAAAAAAAAAAGAGCAAGGCCATTGCTTTATGCATGTTTCCACACGAAGGCCCGAACCGTGCCGTCAGAGCTATGACTGAATTGCTATCGTTCCCTACCCGCTGACCGTTAGGACGCTAAGATATGTAATGATCACTGAGGCAGCTATGTGAGACTTGATCTACGTAATGGAGGTTATTCAGGTCATGGAGCCGTCCGGTATCCTATGGAATGTCGAACCAAAGAGATAACTATAGCGGAGAGGCCTCATCTCAACGTAATACAGTATTGGCAGTTTGGTTTGTGGAAGACTCGTGAGTCTAGCTCCCCTAGCTGAAGGTGCCAAGCTATGCCATAATTCGATGAGAATCTCGATCATCTAGACCTGAATGCGGAAAAGAAGCCAACGATTCGGAACTCACGGAACCACGCTCTGGTTTCGCGTCCATTGGTCTCCTGTCCTAAGTCTGGTTATGGAGTGCACACCAGAGATGCATATGGCTTTGAGCCACGTCAATCATTACATGATTTCATGCAAGCCCCTCATATCTTCGGGACAAGGTCAACGTCATCGACCGCATCTTGGTTCACTGGAGACGCTGGAGGATGAAAGTGATTCAACTTTGGCTAGTCCAGTGAAAGGGGTTTGACTATAAAAGCCCCTAAGCGGCCACAGATATAACCCCGAATCTTCTATTCCACACAGCCCTTCTACTGAACATTTATTCCAAACACCATTCAGTCACAGATCCAGAGTATTCGTCAAAGCTATGCAGTCAGTCAGGATTATCCCTACCTACATCCAACGTGACCCAGGCGCCCCAGCCACGGGAAGTTCCCTTCATGGCCACGGGCATTGGATGCCCGAGAATGTCAAGCTGCGTCGAGCTTGGCTGTCAAGCCTGCTGGATAAAACCAAAGCAGAGATTCCTCGAAAACTGCGTAATGACGAGGTAAACCCAGTTGAGACGTTTCGAAAGCTCATTGAGAACAACTCTTCCCTTTACATGCTCGCCCATTCCATGTTCGAGGAAATCCCCGAAAAGGCGCCGTATGATAGGGACCCGACCACTCTCAGGAAGCAAGTCCGGAACTACAAAACCATGCTATACCTCTTCAATACCCTCCTCACCGAGGTGCCCGAGTACTTTTTGAGAAAGGACCCAAACGTACCCAGCGGTCTGATCGGGTTTCCATTCAATATCATCGTTGACTGGCCCATGGGTACGCCAAGCGGACGCCAATTCTTCTTAGATACGAGAGTCAATGAGTGTCTCAAGAATATTTTGAACAAGTGGAATGAGTTCCTCAAAGACCCTACAGCAGGTGGCAAAGGCGATAAGGGTGGCAACCAGGCTCTGATCGATGCTGGATGGAGTTCGGCCCAGGCGGTCAAACAGCTCGAGGACAAGGCGAACGAGGCCACCCCCAAGGAGGACCCAAAGAAGTTCTCGGAAATATTCCAGCATCCCTCTGGAGGCACCCCAACCAACTTCTTCAACTACGCTTGTTGGGATGAGTTCTTCACTCGCAAATTTAAGGACGGTGTTCGCCCCGTAGCTAAGGCGGCTGTTGTCAACGCCTGTGAATCATTCCCTCTGTCGTTCGACACTGACGTCTCCCGCCGCAACACCTTTTGGCTCAAGGGAACACCATACTCGCTTCATGATATGCTAGGAGCCACTCAAGACGACAAGGCCGCATCCTACGTTGACAGCTTCGTCGGCGGCTCCGTCTATCAAGCCTTCCTGAGTGCCGACTCCTATCACTGCTGGAATGCCCCAGTTACCGGCGAAGTTAAATATCGCAGCCTGATTGATGGAACATACTTCGCTGAAACAGCTGCTGCGGGGTTCGGAGGATCGAACGGTCCTGACCCAGCTGGTCCAGACGTCTCCCAGCGCTATATCACCCATATCGCGGCACGTGGTGTCCTCGTCGTTGATACTAATGTCAACGGCGGTGCAAATATTGGGCTGGTTGGTTTTGTGCCCGTTGGAATGTCTGAGGTATCTACCTGTGACTGGTTCGATAATACAGCAGTAGGAAAGACTATCAAGCAAGGAGATGTCATTGGGGCTTTCCATAGTGGTGGATCTACTCACTGTCTTATCTTCCAGCGTGAGGCTGTCAAGAAGTTGGAATTCATTCCTAAGGCACAGTACCCTGAGATCGCAACAACCAATTTGGCTGTCAATAGCGAATTGGCTAAACTCGTCTCTTGAGGTATTCTACTTCGCCTTAGTGAGTTGTCTCAGCAGTCCGAATCTGAACGATGTCATTTTGTTTCTAGCTTTACCTATTCCAATGCCATTTTCATGTGAGAAGAGAGCTACCAACTCATTCCTTTAAGCCCTAGTCTCATGCCACCTGGTGGTTGAATGACGAGATTTGTTAAGGTTTGATGTCTTTAGTTTTGAATAGTTGCTCAAAAGCCAAATTACCAGATATATATTTCTTCATAACAGATACAGGTGCCGACACTGATGGTAAGCCTGATAATATATTTCACTACCTCGGGATATTCCGTGGGCAAGCCGATAATGGATAATAGAATCCAGCCACTACTGTTCCCACACCAGAACTGGTTTCACTGTGGTCCCATCCTTCATGCCCTTCAGCGCTTGTTCATACTCGACGGCCTAGGTATTTCAAAAGGTATCAGTAAGCACAGGGAGCATTGTTACAATGTCAGATCAATAGGGCCACAAACATTAAAGTACTGGACTAACTCGTCAACTGGAAAGCGACCTTCACGATACCATTGAATCATTTGTGGGATGGCCTTTGTTGTCGTTAGTCTTGGAATTGCAATACCTTGAATTGTAAAAGGAGCGGGCCTCAAACCTTGCCAGGAATACAATCACCTTCAATACACCCCATTATCGATCGGCCGGACTATCATTGAAAAATGAAAATGGTTAACGCTGAAAACTTTTGAGATGAGGTTCAGTGTCACTCACGTTTACATGCTGCACGACATCGACATTAAGCCCATAGCCTAACGGAGCCACCCCAATAAGCACCAGCTTGCCTCTTTTCCGTGTAGCTTGGAGACCTTCTTCAATCAGAGCAGGAACCCCTGTGGTATCGATGACCACTGAAGCCCCGGAGGGAAATAATTGGCAAACGGCATCCTTTAAGCCTGTGTTATCCAAGGTCCCTGTGTTAATAGTATGAGATGCCCCTAGTCTTTTGGCGTGCTCAAGGCGCGTCTCAACCTTATCGACAACAATTATTGCCTTGCATTCACGGATTTTGGCAGTCTATTAATGCTGAGGTCAGCTTAAGAATACCACCCATCACAGCACCTAGCAAAACCATACCATAAGCGCCCCCATTCCAACAGCGCCCAGTCCCAATATCATCACGACATCATCCGGGCCAGCATTTGAAGTGTTCAGGATAGCGCCCATTCCAGTTTGAAATCCACATCCCAATGGCGCAAAGAGCTTGAGCTCGTCCTCACTCCTGAGCATATTTTTGACGTTGACAACGCTAACTTCGCTGACTATACTATGTCGGGCAAAGCTAGACTGACCAAAGTACATGGACCAGGGCTCTTCCCCAGCTTTGCATATTTTCATTCCTCCCTGCCGTCCAACGTAATTCTCCTTGGCAAAGACGTCGCAATATGCTGGATGCGAGTTCTGACATGATTCGCAGGATGAACAGGAGTAGTAGGAGAGTAAGACTGGATCTCCGACCTCGACGGATTTCACGTTCTGGCCTCGCGCTCGTACAATACCGGCTCCTGTGACCGTTTAGCATACATGGAACCAAGATCCGTTTCTCTATTCATCTTGTTCATGCCGTAGTGTATACAACGGCAGGAATGTGCAGATAATGAAATACCTTCATGTCCCAGTATCTTTGGGTACTGGATTCCAAGGCTTCCAGACGGTACAGATGATAGAACTATATCTGTATGACAGATGCCTGTCGCACGCATTTCCACCAGAATTTCCCCTTCACCAGGCGTATATACCTCGACCTCTTCCAGGGCCCAATTTATGCTCAGTGGCTGCTCGGGCTCACGAGCAACGATGGCGGTTGTGGTAATCATACTTTTATTGGGAGGACAGAATTCTCTTTCAGTAACCGGGGATCAGGGAGGTTAGGATGGTTTGAGTATTCCATCCCACCGCAGTGGGGACCAGAGTCCGATAAATAAAACTATAATTCGTCTTGCATGCTGCTTCCCAGATTAACGTTTCGTCTTGGCGCGGGGCCTGATGGTAGACATGTTGATGAAGCTTATCTTTCTGCCTCGGGCCGATGCCTAGGCTATGCGAATTATCCACACCGAACAAGGTGCAAGTCGCCGTACGTCCGGTAGTTTATGCTCTTTGATAACTTCAGATTCTATTGTGGCTCGAAGGTTTCTGGTTTAATTATGATATGTAGTTCTTGTGCTTCTAGAGGTGGTACATCATACATCTAAATACCTCATTCATTCCTGGATTCTGTAGTGAATTACCAAAATATATATCTCTTCGCAGAGACAGTTCAGTCAAATGAATACTGGTTATGCTTGATGTAGAGTCTAGTCTGGAAGATTATGGCATCAGGGAAAGCACCATTCCTCCTAGACCCTTGCATACACATACAGAAATGTGCCAACTGATTTTAAATTTAAATTTATGTTTTGCTCTATCTATGAGGCCGGAAGACTAACTCCCGGGCCCTCACATATTTGGTGATTTCCTAATCTACTGAGACAACAATGTCAAGAAATCCTGATCTGAACGGGATTCTGAGATATTTATTACTTTTACGAAAATGCAGTAGCCCCACTGTAAAGAAATGCCTTTCTTGTCCACCAATACTACCCAAATTTCTCTCACGCTTGCCGGGGAAAATTGCTCTATCACCTCTCACGGAATACCAGCTTCAGAGGGGCAGTAACCAGAGTAAATGTATCTCTCTTACCATCCAGGAAATCTTCAGTGGTTTGACCTTCAGCAAATTCGACATGATATCTAGTAAGAATCTCGGCAGTCACACGACGGAGCTCCATCATGGCAAGTTGCTTCCCAACGCAGGAATAGGGGCCTAAGCATATGCGTTAGTATCGCAGGAAAAGGCATTTTTGGAATGTGGCGTTATAATGAGCTCAAATCTCCTGAACATACCTGCATTGAACGGAATGAAGACGGATGCGTCTTTTACTAGCTCCGGCTGCGTCATCCACCTCTCAGGAAGGAACTCGTCAGGCTGGACAAAGGCTCGTTCGTCTATGAAGCGTGAGCATCACTCTGTACTGTTTAGATAATTCTTGGCTTAACAACATACCTCGGAACAATGTGTGTGTCGGAATGCAAACCATCACGTCACCAGGAATAAACTTATCACCCATCTGGAGACCCTCTGGAGGCGTCATTCGTTGGGTGCCAGATGGTACAGCAGGATGTAATCTCAGAGTTTCATTGATAAGTGCGTCCAGTAATTTGACACCTGTCAGCTTCTCCTGGGCCAAGTCAGACAAAGCGTCTAGTTCTTCCTGGAGCTTTGTTTGCCATGTGTGGTCCGCGGCAAGATGGAAGAACAGATTCGTCAAGGTGGCAGCAGTAGTATCACTACCGATGTTAGTTCATTATATATTGATCAATGCTAGCACGTCTGTGAGAAAGTCCCTTACCTTCCTGCAACAATAATTAGGTAAGCATCACCGTGTAGGTCGAGGTGATCCTGCTTTGTCTTTGGGCCATTTTGATAAGCATCAAGGATCCATGAAAACACATCTGGACGGTCTGGGTTATTCTGTAGAGCTTTCGTTAGTCTTGCCTTTTCCATAGATTTCTATTGGGGAGCCCCTTCATACCATGATTCTTTCCTCCACTCTGTCTCCAACCCAATTCCAAAATTTGAGATAGTCTGAATTGAGGATAGGGATTCTTTTGAAAAATGGAAATAGCCATGTCAGGTGACTAAACAGACCAATACTCTTCATATCTGCATGTAACTGCGTCGAAAAGTATGTATCTTTCCCGCCAACCAACATGTTAAAGGATTTCCCAAACGACAGATCGCCCATGACATCGAAGCTGTAGTAATTAAACCACTTCGACATATCCATTGGCTTGCCAAGATTCTTCCGGACGGCTTCGAGAAGCTGCTCGGCGTAATGAGAAACACGAGGCTCATAATCGCGCAGTGCTGAATTATTAAGCTGGTTAGAAGACAGAGAGTATGGGGTAGTACGGCATATTAACACACCTTTGGAACTAAAGCCTTGATCCCACACCTTCCTTCGGCGGGAGTGTTCCTTTTTGTCTCTCGACATCTGGAGAGATACCCGAGGCTCCAAAACGGTATACCATGGTCCTTTGCTCACTTTCGCCTGGCCACTATAAAGTGCTTTTACTGCTCTAGGATCGGCTATCGAGAGCTCCGTGGGGCCTAACAAAATACCAGGCAAATGAGTTAGACAGGCAATGAGAAACTAGCCAGAAGAAGAATCACCTAGTCGAACATAGTCGCCATATTGTTGATGTAGCTTTTGAACCTCCTCGTAGAGATGCAGACTCTTAGCAGAGAGTGAAGTGACGTAGAAATTTGAAAGCCTGGCGAGGAATGGCCCAGGATATCCACGAAGACGATGCCAAAAAGCGCGATAAAAGAGCAAACTAGCGTAGACCCCAAGGATGTGATATACAGTGACTGTAATTGCCCATTTTGGAGGCGCGTGACTCGTGAACCTGTCCAGTAAAGCTGCTCGTTCCGCATAGAAGAGGGTTGCGCTAAGTAGGATATATGTTCTCACAATACTAGGCGCTTTAACATCCCATTCGCCAAATCGATAAAGGAGAAGGTGCGTGGCCACGCCGCTAGCGATTGCCGAAGCCCGCAACGTATCCATTCGGACAATAAATGGGTCAGACGAAGTGTGTTTGGTAAACGCGTATTCCTACTACTGTATGTGTTGTTCCCACGCTCTGTCTTTAATAAAGGCTTCTATAATGACAGCGGCGGCTATATCCCAAGCTTCAGAACTCTCTTGTCACCTTCGAACGAATGAGCAGCTAGTCTTTGGAAGGTTGTGGATAACCGAGGCCCGGCCCACGACGTCAAGTGCGGGCACCCAATCCTTTCGTCAGGTTTATGCACTTCTTATGCAGCTTGTCCTTGGCTCGGATGACCGGAGTTACATTTCGCCGACGATCAGCGTCGTTCATAGCCTGATATGTTTGGATGGATCGACGACCGTCTTTTCCGACCATGAATTACCTTTACCCCACAGTTTAGTAGCAATTTTAGAGTTAAACGACCGGAACTGCGGGGAAAGAAGGACACCGATCAGGTCTCATGAATCTCACCATGATGCTAGCTGCACCCGACCTCACACGCAGAAGCGTCAGGGCATATCAATTACAGTCTTGACCATGAGCACACATATATCAGCTAATCCACGCCAGCAGATGGTCGATGGGTCTGCAGATGGGATCCATGGACAAAGAGCGCGGCGAACGCGTCGGGCGCCTCTGGCATGCCAGCATTGTCGACGTAGAAAGGTCCGTTGTAACCTGTCCATAGAAGGGCCACCATGCGTCAACTGCCGCCTGGACGGCTGGGCCTGCGTTCTCCCTCCAAGAAAGCTGCCTCGCTGCCTTGCACCAAAGCGAAAAGGTGATGATGATCACCCGCCGGAGACTAGGGGTGACGATTGTCCCCAGGATCCAAACGACGCTAAGGAACAGAGGGAGGATCATAACGCAGCTTGCCTGAAGCCGGCGCAACGTCAAATACAATGTTCCGGTATAGCCTAGTTGCCCAACAGACACTATAAGTGATGTAGTATAACCGCTCATTCATCGCAGGTGCCAGAGCTTCAATATCATCAACGTTGGTCCCTTTTGCATACTACCCCTACCTAAATGTCCCCAATCTCGATCGTCTGCCAGCGTCAGATATTGCCTACCTGGATTCCCAGAAGTGTTTCAATGTACCGTCGGGTGAATTTCTCGAGACCCTTATTTCGCACTACTTTCTTTATGTGCATCCCTGCTTACCCGTTATCAATGAGGCCGAATTCTGGCCTGTATTTCGACAGCGAGAACGAGGCAAGCCCTTCTCCCTGCTCCTCTTTCAGACGATGTTATTTGTCGCAAGCAGCGTATGTCTTCCTTCGAAACCACATATCCTTTAACTAACAATACCACAGTATCTCCCCGTGGAATACGTGAAAAGAAGCGGTGCGCAATCAATAATTGCTCTCCGAGATACTTTCTACAAGCGCGCTAAGGTACCGGCACCCACTGAATACTCATGGCCCCATAACTTGCGCTGAAAGAAGGTCTAAAATAATCACTAGTTGATTTATGATTTCAACCTCGAGAATGATCAGCTTCGGCTTTGTCAAGCTGCAATTCTGCTCACGTACCGGTGCTCTAGCATAGATCAACTCAGCAACACGACGTGGCTAGCACTTGGGATCCAGCACGCGCGTGCACTGAAGGCCCATGTCTATCATCGTTGCCCTGCTAATGAGAAAACTACTCGAGTTACGCTTAAACGTCTTTGGTGGTGCTTAATCATTCGTGATAGGCTCCTCTCTTTAGGAGTGCGACGAGCTCTCCAGATCCTCCCATATCACTTTGACGTAGCGTCACATTCTCCCCTCACGCGTGAAGACCTAGAAGATGAAGTCCACACCTCGGAGGTCTACGACGCTGCAACGAAAAAAAGACTGATTGACATACTCACCAGCCAGTGCCACTTGGCTGTAGCGATGACGTTGCTACTTATGACGGTCTATCCTCCAGGTGACCCCCTAACCTTTGGACAAGACTCAGCTCTAATCCTGGCTCGAACGGATGATCTCAAAGAGCGTCTTCAATTCTGGGAATCAAACCACATGATTCAGGTCTCTTCATCAGATGGCCAGTGGCACCAATCGGTCGCCTTTTATTGTCAATTAATATCTTTATACTACCAGTAAGAAATACTCCCCGATGACAGCAGTTACTGGGCTAATCTATGTTCTCTCTCTGTTCGCCAGGTCCGCTCGGCTAGTACTCTATCATTACATATCCTTTTGTCTCTCTGTTCAAAAGGACAGGGAGTCTACTGCCCGTGATCTGGAGGCCCAGGAGCTGCACTTAATGGATGCTCTTATGACGATGAATGAGAGAGTCAAAAGGTTTGTGATTGACGGCACAGCAGGTCATCTGCCAATCGGCGTTGTCGCATACACCGTTGCGCCTCAAATATTGCTAAATATCAATCTTCGACTGAGTCGGAACGATATAGACCGACATCGCCAAGAGCAGCTTCTTCGATTTTACACTGAGATTTCCCGCCTGTACTCGATACGTTACGATGTGGCCTATATTTCTTCCTGGATTCGACATATAGTACAGCTGTTCGACTTGTCCGTATCCCGCTGCGGCCTTGGCCCCGCGAAACAGCAAAACCAGCTTTCCGATGAACCATCTCAAATAGCTGTGGCTACCACCAATCGACATTCTAAGGGAGGGTTCTCTGAGCTCCTCAGAAGCAAACCATCCGTCTATTTTGAGCTTGTTGCTGTTGTGGATTATTCTATCTCGACAGGCCGCGGCGCCCTAGAAGCCCCCAGTTCATTTACCATCCTGCCGTCGTTCCTCCGATATAAGGAGCCCAACCTGCCGATATCGTCTCCTTTTGCGGACTCGAGTACTGAGGAACCGGTGGATGACGAGCCTCTGTCGTGGTCAGAAATAGCAAACTTGCAAGAGGTTGTATCTGGAGAGTCCAACTTCTTCTCATTAGATGGAATGTGGCCAGCTCCAGCCTCGACTGCGAGTCCTGCAATGATGCACTCGGATTATAAGGATATAGAAATGAACGAGAACCCATTCGTTCACGAAAGTCCGGCGTTTGCCGACAATATTTGGCGCGATCTGGGCTTATGTGGGGAGTAACGAGATGTGGGTGGACAGCCATATGGGATTTGCAATGATATCTATTTCGTTCTCTCCACATGTAAATGTTTACCACATATAATTCATCCTTTTTCTCTAATTGATCCGTACCGGGTGAAACCCCTGACAAGCAAGATTGCAAAAGGAGAGAAATTCCCACCCCTAATTGATAATCTGCCCTTGTGGTAAATACGTCCAGTTACCAACCGCCACCTCAAAATCCCCGTTCACACTTCCCTCCCTACCATTCGTCGTGGCATAAGGTCCAAGTAAGGTCCCCGTAAAGCCTGCACTTAACTGCTCTCCACGCGCGACCCCGTATGTCTGCATGAGATGCCTCGCCTCGCCCGGACCCGCGGCAAATGAGTAGTGTGTCCAGTTAAACGCTTTGACTTCCAGCGTGATCGGTGTATCGATAGACATATCCGGTGGGAATGGGAACACAGTCTCTGGGAGAGAATAGCCTGACATTCCACGAAAACGGAAAAAGGGTGCCAACTCAGTAAACGTGTCAGTATTGTTTGCTTGTGGAAGAAGGACGATACCCAGATCGAAATGGTAGGCTTCTGTCAGAAATACGCTGACGCCCACTTCGTCTTCATGGGCTCGCAGATTGGCAGCGTTGATGTCTACTTGATACGTGAAAAGACTGTCAGTTTGTCGTCGGCCAATAAAAGTCTGGCCCTGACCGCCTGTGGATAGTCCATCGGTAGAGGTTAGATTGAGTACTGAGGAACGAAGTACCAGGGAATTCTCAGATCCTGGCGGTGATACGAGGTAGGTATCGGGTGTTGGTAGTCGCCAATGTATCAGATGCAATGGCAACGTAGAGTTCGGCGGGAAGGTAAGATGATCAGGGTTATCGACATAAGGGCCTTCACCGTCAGAGACAAGGACTGGGTCTGAAGGAAGTCCCCATCCGTTGATGATCCCGCTAACACTTTGAAAGATTGGCCACTCGGCCTTTTCCCAAGTAACGGGGGTTAGCACCGTCTCTCTTCCCATCGGATAATTTTTAGAATCAGGTCCAGAGCGCGTTGATAAGGCGACTGCCCACCAGCTACCATGCACATCCTGGAACAGATCGGCGTGGCCCACGGCTTGGAAGAAAGCAGTTGTGTTGGCGTTTGTGAGTACAGGATTATGGGGCGCGGGCTCATAAGGTCCGTTGATATTCCTCGACCGCGCCATGGTGACCATATGTCCTTCTCCTGTGCCACCTTCTGCGAGCAGTAGGTAGTAATAATCGTCTTTCTTATATAGATGTGGGCCCTCTGGTGCTAGGCCTCCCGTGCCATTCCAGGGATTCAACCAAGTTCCTGTTTCGCCTGTCTGCAGATTAATCGTGGCAGTTTGTACCCCAGGCCAGACTTTATATTCATGGCTTCCGGTTACATAGACCTGTTCATCATCATCCCAAAATAACGAGGTATCGTAGCCACCAAAGTCGAAATGCACGGGATCCGTCCAGCTATCTGATTTGAACGGGTCATCGGTGCTTATGACAAAATTATCCCAACGGGATTCATTGTCGGCAGCTAAATCATCAAACACAAGCGTTGTACTGATCCAAAATCTACCTTTGCCATGATCGCTTCTGTTCATATTACTGTCGCTGCTTTCATCATGGTATCTAAGTGTCGGCGCCCATACGCCACTTGTATCCTTGATTGTGGTTGCCAACTTGGGCAGCATCTCCGGCCTGGAGATAGCATTTCCAATCAGTTTCCAATTCCGCAAGTCCTTGGAGGCGTGAATGGGTATCCCAGGAAAGACATTAAAGCTGCTCGACGCACAGAAGTAGGTATTGTCCCACGATGGAACAAATATACAACTGGGGTCGGGATGAAAGCCGGGTAGAATTGGGTTGGTGTATGTGCTGTTCTGGTGATTGACATTTCCCCAGGCCGAACTGCCCAGCAATAGGCAGGAGAACAATATTGCTGCCATGATTAGGTGCAAGGAGAAGTATGATATGACATGAGGAGTACACGAGATGGGGGTTCAGAGATGTTATAATCAACCTAGTTGCATATTCTCCTCTGTGGTTGGTGGACAATCTTCAGAGTCGGCCAAAAGGTTGCCGAGAAAGGCTCTGTTGTCCAAGGCCGTGCACAAATCTTATTCTCCAAGGTTTAGTAGCTTAGCTACGCAGCAGAAGTGCTTAGAGTATCCTATTCTAGCTTCTATGCTCTAAGACCTGCCTGGTTAAGTCAGCCCTATGCCTCCTTGTGAAGCGAAATTGCGGGGTAGATCTGCATTTATCCAGGAAGGATCTCAACACGATGCCCGGCAGTAGCAGGTTTAATCATGCAATGCTATCAGAACATTGATTACTGGTGGGAAATTCCCCATTAGCGCATGTATTAATTAGTCCAGTAAAAATGCTGAAACTGCCGTTCGCTTCGACTTCCATGCTCATCTACTCTCATAGGATAGCTACTAGAAAGGTTCAAAAGCCCAAGAATTTGCACCATGATGACCGTAAAGAATTGGTTCGGAACGGAAATAGTTGTGGCAATTGGCTAAAGATCAACTATGATCCTCAAATCCGCTCTCGTTTATATCGCGCTCCCAATCTTGCAAGCGGTAGCAGCCTGGCAGGTTCCCGCGGAATATGCCATAACTCCGTCCTCTAATGGTCGGTTCCTCCAGGAGCACGATGGGAAACCTTTTTTCTGGCAGGCGGACACAGCATGGCTGTTATTCCATCGCCTGAACTTCAGCGAGGCTGAGGTATATCTTTCGGACCGAGCTAGCAAGGGATTCACCATGGTGCTAGCCGTTGGCTTCACCCAGGCAGGTATCGATAATCCTAACCGAAATGGTGACCTGCCTTTTATAAACGAAGATGTGACGAAGCCCAACGAGGCGTACTGGACCTACGTCGATTCAGTCGTTGAGCTTGCATGGAGTAAAGGCATTCGCATCTGCATGGTTCCTGCATGGGGGAAATATGTGCATAGCAGCGGTGCGTCATCGATCATACCCTCGTTAAAACATAGTTTACACCGGTCTAACAAACATTAGATAACTCGGGCAGTGTACTTAATACGAGCACCGCATATCCATTCGGGGAGTTTCTGGGCCACCGATACCCCTATCTCCCAAAGACTCTTGTTGGCGACACCAACCCTTACTGGCAAAACAAGACAGCCGTCAAGGCCGACTATACGAATGGTGGCGCACCCCCAACTTACGAAGTCATTGACTGGTCCCCAGTCTACGATGACCTGGCAAATGGCATCGTCGCCGGTGAGCGACAAGCTATTGCTGCAACATCCGCCCAAAATGCCATGACGTGGTCGCCACTGATGACAATCCACCCGACAAACCAATGGTTCACGGGTGGGCCTCTCGCACTCGCACACGCTTTCTTCGGAAACCGAACATGGCTTACCTTGGACGCCAGTCAATCTGGTCATGCGGACTATCCACCGAACCCTCCGATTCCTTGGTGGAATTGTCGCCGAGGGTGGGAGCCGGTCGAGCTCATGTACGCGGCCGGATCAGTTCCTGGTGGTCGTGTGCGGCCAGTCATTGATAATGAGGCGCACTATGAGAACAGGTATAATAATGGTAATAGCAATAAGGCATCTTGGAATGCTAGCGATGTGCGAATTGGAAGTTGGCAAGCGGTGAGCTTTATACCCATCAACGGCAATCTGATGAGGTTGTCATGATGAACGGCCACAAGCAGGACTGACAGGAGAAACTAGGTGTTCTCGGGCGCAGCGGGCCTAACTTACGGGGCAAACGCCATTCAGCAATGCGCTATACCCGGTCTTTTCGCCGAAGATGGTAGTGGGCCTAGCAACAACTGGGCGCAGGATTTAGTGCTGCCCGGATCCAACCAGATGCAGTGGATCAAGAAGGCTATAATGGACAGAGGGAACACGACCTCCTACTTCACGCGTGTGCCAGCACAGGACATTATACTCGGAGACCCTGGTACTGACGATACAAGGGTCACGGCGACCAAGGATAGTGGTGGTAACTGGATTATGGTCTACACCCCCATGGGGACGTCGTTCCAGGTTGAGACGAGCAGTCTGAATTCTTGCCATGTGCAGGCAAGCTGGTATGATCCGTTGGGTGGGACGTATAGCACACTTAGTTCCACTCTGTGTGGTGAAAGCTCGACCGTCAAGACGTTTACACCGCCTACCACAAGCGGACATGCAGACTGGGTGCTCGTCTTGGATGTGGTCCATTAGTTGAGCGTGTGCCCATAGCGCGTTGCTCGAATACCTACACTACCCTAGCATTGTCGTTGGTGGCGGGCTCGGCTTTACGCTTGGCAGGTCTCAGATCAGCAACACTAATACCAATAATATCCATAGCGTCAATAGTATGAATATTGGTGAACGCAAGGAGGTAGCGAGCGCACCATTAGGTGAATTATTAAACTATTTAAAGTGTTCAAGCATCTTCTGGTTAGTGGTTTCTGCTTCACCCACAGCTTGTCCCTGTTATTATAATAGTAGTGAAAGCTCACTA